GACCTCCCCGCAGAACTTAAGCAACGTGGCTTACACCCCACATTTCATGCTCTATTGGTTGCCTCGAGGAATGTCTGTTTCCCGAGTGACAGATCACCACGGACAAGGTACTAATTCTCTTTTTGAGATCAAGTACTCCTCTGGAGACCGTGTTTGGCTGCCTTACCATGAAGTCTCCCGATTGGAGGCCATTAACCAGTACCTCAAGAGTCTAAGGGTGCCTGGCATCAAGCACTTGCCAAAGAAAATTTCGGGCCCCTCCCACAAAGTTAGTGTTGCTACTATGGATAATTTCGTGGACACTCAAGACGTTACCTTTGGACTTGTCGACCGATTGCTCAATGAGCTCCCCCAACAACTCGTACTTAGCCTTAGTGATGGGTACTTAAACCCCCAGTATGCTCAGCCTCCACCGTCCAGACTCCCCTCTGTTCAACCCTGCATAACACCCTTCCCTTCTCCCCTAATGGCTTCCAATGAGCCTCACAGACACTTCACCTGTCGTCGCGGAGGGTGTAGAGATCGAGGTTGTCCCCCTCTTGCAGAAACTCCCAACTCTGATGCCCTCAACACTTTCACTCGCTTCTTCGTGGCAGAAGCTCAAGCCAAAGAACTCACGACCAGAAAAGAGGCGCATGCTTTTGAGCAGCGCCTCCATACTGAGCGCTACCATGACCAAGATTCCTGCCCCCGGTCATACGGTCGTGACCGCGAACGCGAACGTCATTGTCAGTGTGAGGCTGCTCACTTCACTGGTCATCACTCACCTCCCTCTCATAACCGGACATTGGACAATTGTCCTGTCTGTCGCTCTGGCCTGTCAAGGGCGCAACCTCATGAGGTCCCTCAGTCCCCTTCCATGTCCATCATGCCCCCTCCTTTGCTACCATCTCCTGCCTCCCCCTCTCCTCCTGCAGAGCCAGCAGGTGATATGGGTGCAGACATTGACTCTCTCATTGCTGAGTCCGAGCAAATGGACTTAGAAGTGGAAGGTTGTCGTCACGGCTTCACAGCCGAGGAGCTCTTTGGTAGTGTCATTAACATTACCCTCCTCATCCTCCTAGCAGCTATGGGTACCATGAATATTGAATCCGCACACATACCTCAGGCTTAATGGTCCCCTACCACAGATTAGAAGGTCCTCTTTGGAGGACCTGGAGGGCGTATGTAGCGTTCCTAAAAGCCTTCATTGTTACAAGGCAACATTTCTCCATAGTTTCTCTCATTTTCTTTATTGTTCCTTACTCTACAGTATATAAGGCTCTCTTTATCTACTGATAGAGTAGTTGATCTTACCCCCCCTCAAATAACATTTAGTTCGGACAGTTCTCTCATCTGAAATAAGTCTATTCAAACTATTGACTCTCTAGTGTGAACGTTTCATAAACGCCACACATGGGTGATGAAGAATAAGTACTGATTTTCAAATATAACATGTGAGGTTTGCAGCTGTTTTAATATATAATGACAGTGGTGTTTTTTTTTGTAAATTACACAAAATATGATTTTGTAGTGAATTTTCTCTGCTGCATCATGATGTTCTGCAAGCTCATCAGCCTCATGAGAACCAACTGTTTCATATCTATTCATTCTGTTAAGAACGTGCTCAAGGGTCAGATCCGAAGGGCTTGGCTTCAGCTCGTGCGCTGCGCCCCTTACCCGAGTACGTGCCCCTAACTTCCAAGGGCTGTTTGGACGATGTCCGAAGGTTGTTGGACGAGTCTGGAGTCCAATGTCTGATGTGCGGGAATTCCGGCGGACGTTCGGGAACGAGGGATAAGACTAATCCGGACAATGTCCGAACTAGAAAGGAAACAGTGGAGGACTACCAGAGGTAGAGGCAGAGGTGAGAAGTCTATAGGAGTCGATCCTAAGACTAGCGGAGGATGATGAGAGGAGAAACTCAAGTCGGACGGAGGAGGGAATGAGCAGAGTCTAAGATAATATTCGAACTGAGGAAGTACAAAGATTCTACAGGGTTTATATACTACTGAGGACTTAACGGAGAATCAGTCAGCGCAGTCCGAAGCTATGCGAGGCTGTGGACAGAGTGTATAGAAAAGTCAAACACTAGTCTATCGGAAAATAGTAAATGAAGACGGAGATGAGAACATAGGAAAATAAAGGCGGAAATGAAATGAGGTACAGAAAATGAGTATAGTCTAACTGGAGAAGGAACATACAAAGGGATAAGGCACGGAAGATAGACGCGGGTCGGATCCGGATGTCCGGATGTCTGGAGATGTTCGGATATGAGGGCATGATTGGTCCGGGTCCGGAATGCGGGATATGACACATTCTATCATTGTCTTCAATGAACTTGAACATGCTGGTATGAGCTGAAATGTATTGCTTCAGAATGCAATAAAAAAACTCTGTGCTGCATTTGTAGCTCACATTCTCAATATAATGCTACAGAAATAGGATTCATTGATAAAGTCTTAAAAGATGAGCAGATACTTGGACAACATTATGGGTGCTCATTAGTATCACTATCGAGAATGTCAAAACTGTTCTGTCTTGTGAGCATGAGATGTTTGTGCATTAAATACAAGTCAAGCACTGATGTAAGCAGTCAAATTTGTTTCAAGTCCTAATTCATGTAGTTGACAAAAAAAATAATGCCACTAGCATCATTTATTAAAATAGCTGTAAGGGTGCTTGTGAATGCAGATACCTATAAGGGAAATGTTTGTCTATTTATCATTGTCCAGCTAACACTACAAGAGCTATAAGTAAGTCTAATAATATGGTACATGAGAGAATTTTTCCTTGTATTGTGCATCTACAGGGTTTGCAACAAGATGATGTGAGTGGCTGCTTCTTGTGCTGCTACCTTCCAATCTATGGTGGAAAAACATGAGATTAACAGAAAGAATGTGAAAAAATAGGTCATATATTTTGGGATTTCCCATGCTGATGCTGCTACTGTGATTGGATGGAGAGTAAAGCCAGGTCCTGAATGATTTGATGGATTATGTGATGTCATGATAGTTTTTCACTTGAAGGATATTGAAGATGATACAACTAATGGCAGATATGGTAAACATGAGATAAGGAATACTCAACCAAAAGTCTTGGAGAGAATCGTTGTCACAAGCCTTAATGGAGTGCTCAAACCTCTTACAGTCTCCACATGAGAAGCACAAGGTAGGCTTATTGATATATCAGCATATTGTCTTACAGTAATGTCCACAGTAATATGAAGCATTTATGAGGTCGCAGCTGTGCAAATCTGTGTAGGGCTCAAAAATAGAAAGTGAAGAGAATAATCCATGGAAAGTGCAAATCCCTACTTGGTCGTTCATATATTTTTGAAGCAGTTGAATCTTTGTTTTCAGATCATGGAGTATCGGGTGTTTTGGAGAGTAGGAGTTTCTTCTTTACTGATGTTTCTCCATCCCTGTGGGAGTAGTTGGTACTAGAGGGAGAGGTGTCATTTTTAGACAGTTCAAGGGTAGGTCATTCACATGATATCACACCTGTAATTACCATAGTCCCACAAATCAGTGAAAATATATCTGATGTTTGTCTCAATCCAAATGAGGATGTTTCAGAGAATGAATGATAGTGACAGCAGTACCAATGAGACATAATTAATGGATCTTAAGCTGATTCTGATGTCACTTGGCCTCACATATATATTGCAAATTTACTCCACAACCCATGGCTGCCATTGATGATATGGAAATCATACCTGACTTTGTAAAGTGCACAATTATAGGATGTACCTCTCATACTCTCTTTTTGTCCAACAAACTCTTCAACAACTACTGCATACTCACTCACAATCAAGTCCTCCTATCTCTCTGTCTCTCTACAATAGAATCTTCATTGAGGTTGACTTGCTCCCAATATGGATTAAATAGAAAAAAAACCACATACACACATCCTGACCATCAAAGACCTATGGCCCACTCTTAGCACAGACAAACTGGCAACAGGATATCAAGAATGTCAACCTCAAAGTTCTATGGCCAATGACATTTAAACCTGAAGGGCAGAGTAATTTTTCCTACTTGATAGAACTCACTCACTGGTATTACACTCAAACTGCAGCCAACCTTATACACATGTCCATCCTTACCCTTCATGCATTGATGTTGACTCATCTATCTGGTGACTTAAAGAAAGCTCATTTTTGCCCACTATAAGAGATTTCACATTGAGGACTATTATGACTTTAAAAACATAGTTAGACTTTGGTTATCTAAAGTCTTGTAAATTCTCAAAGCCTCAGATATTACCAAAATCTTGAAAGTCCCCAAAGTTACCACAGTTGATTTCAAGGACACTGAGCTCTCATGATCACCTTTCACTGCACTTCTATCCAAAACACTTTGACACAATCCTTTGCTCTATGATTTGAAGCAGATGTTATTATACATTTTAATTCACTATATATAGAATAACTACCCTAGTGAATCATTAACATCAAACATTCATGTCTGGTGATACTACTAGCCCTTGGTTGACACAGAATCCATGGTTTCAACAACAACCGCCACCCACATACTAGCAAAACACCAATCAGAAAGATGTCTTTTTAACAATATTTCTGTCCATGATGGAATACAACATGTCCTTAAAATATCCCACCTTGCTGTGACTATCTGGGAAATATAATGGCTGAGGGTCACCATTTGGAAGCCTTGTCTCAGGGTACCCCCCAAGTTGTAGAGAGACTTTTTGGCATTTTTCGAGCAGAAAGTACATCATCAGCTTGTTTCAGGTGTATGCACCAAATGTTCTCATTCATAAAATATCCATCACATTCTTTGCCAGCTCAAAAGAGGACATGAGCACTTTCCTCCCCATCTGGAGAATGGAGCCACCCATGGTCCATAGAAACAAAATCTGCCACCATCAAAGATGCTTTCTCCCCTTTAGGTTAAGGAATAGCACCTTCTGAGTTATGCACCTATCTGAGTTGTTTCCATTGATTGTGGACATAGGTGATCAGTAAATTAACACATTACTTAAGACTCTTGCATTACAACTTATATGATTCGCTGGCACAATTTGTCAACACATTCCAAAGCGGCTTTATTTGCCATATGCAATTCATCCCATATGATGGCAGTAGCCTTTCGAATGAGATCTGCATGCGCCGAAAATGGATGGATGGTCGAATGAAGGTCAACGTTGTCGTCCGTCACAGGGATTCCGAACATATAATGAGCAAAGAGCATGTGGAGGCCATGATGGTCGTCGAAAAGGAGAGAACTTAGGAGAGCATGAGCGGCTGTGATTGAAAAGGTGAGAATAGGAGACAAAATGATCAGAAGCGCAGGAGCGATTGATGTGCAGGCGGCGCTCAGGTGGAGCACACACATGGGGTGTACTGCAAATTTCTCCTGCGGGATCAAATGCTCCGTGCTTATATATGTTAGATGTTGCGACCAGTGTAACATTCTCTTACAATCACATAGAATCTTGAAAGATAAAATATTGTACCATCGTCTTGCAGTGCATTTACCATTGCCTTGTGTACATTTCGCATTGATCATATTGATCACACACACACACACACACACACACACACACAATTGATGCAACACATTTTCATTCACACACAGCCTTGAAACATATCCCACTGCTATCAACATACTGTCAGCAATGATATATTGATAGACCGATCACACAGTAAGTTTGTACTCCTGCAATCTAAGTAAAAGGAAGTGTGGAATAAATAACGTAAGGACACTCTGTATCCCGAGGCTTCTTTCCAACAAAAAATAGCTGGCAGAAACAGCTAGGGTATCGACGTCGAGCAGTGTGATCGGAAGGTTCTGAACCTAATGGATGAAGCAGATAATAAAGAGGGCTCAGAAAAACAGGAGGTAGCTAAATAGCTTGATTCTAATACCGCTTGAAACGTTCTTCCAGCTTTCGCCGCACATCAGCAGATGCATAACTCAATACTGGATGACTGACCAGTGAAACACCAACCATGAGAATAGCAAGTTTTACAGCTTCTTTTGGTGGTTCGTTGAGCTGCATCGAGTCCCACTAGTCAGTGCCTTGATAATTCAAATATATAGCACTTACTTCTTCAAGCATGAATTTGAGTAGGAAATCATCGACTTGATTTTCAGCTGTAGCACACGTCTCAATCAGTTGTTGCTTTTTTGCCACTGTACAACTCACCTCATCGAAAAGAGTAAAGACTTTGCTCACAAGTTGGATGTCACGCTGGGAAGCATGCTGAAATTGTTGGCTCAAAAGACTATGATAATTTTGGTCCACTTAGGTGTAGAATGTCAGTGATAGCAAGCTCAAGATAAAATAGAAATATTGTACATAAAATATGCTCCAATTGCTGTTCCTTGCTGCCATTCAAGTCAATAGAGTTGAGTTCCTGAATTGCCTGAGGAGTATCACTGACACATGGATTGAGAGATGAAGCCACAGCGGCATCCCTGGCTTGAGACTCCTTGCTCATGATGGAGAGTGTTTTTGTTTGTCATATCGGATGTGTCTCCTTCTAAAATCTCCAGAAGAAAGGAAAGACGCTTGAGGATGCTTGCCGAAAGCTTGAAGACCTAACAAAGGAATCAATAACAAGCAGGATTAAAGACTATTTGTTGTCTGGAGTCATGAAGTACTTCGAATCTATTTTTAAAATCTGCCATGGGGAGTATTCACATGATTATTTCCCGCAGGTTGGTGTACAGGTGCCTCCATAAGCCCTTTGCAGTGACCTTAAGCTTGAGATTCATGGTCATGCCAAGATCTATTACTATATTTTGGTTGTTGGTCGAGTTTCTCTTAGACATGTACCAGTACAATGCAAACACTCTAATTTTAATCCCATGCATGTCTGTCCCTTACTTTTTATTGCTCCTCCCTTTGACGTCTAACCGGCCATTGTATAGGGTATTGTTTCCGACTCCCTTTCAGGTCCAACTATGACAATACTTAGATACTCTATAGAAGGTAATAAAGACCCTCTTGAGGCTTCCGAGTTACCAATTCATTCATCCTTCGTCAAACAGATCGATTCACCTTTAATACACGCACAGGAATCTATTGGGAGTGTTGATGTGTTAGTTATATGATCATTCACCTCTACAGTATGCATTTCTATGTCTTTTATGTGCCTAACCTTGCCATTTCACTTATGGTATCATTCCTTACACTTTGCTACCTATTTACATGACTTCCTGATCTCCCTAGGACGTCCCTAGGTCAAGTTATTACTTACCCTTTGATTGTGGCTTGTCTGTTTACATTTGTTTACCATATGTTGCCCATATCCCAGAGTCCAGTGCTTACTGTCTCTTTGGCAACTTACTCTGGACTCTAGGTACAGTACAACTTCACTATACCATTCAATAGATTGGCAACTTACTCTGGACTCTAGTCTGATCTCTTCTGGTCTCTCAGTAGCCTCTAGAAGCGGCTCACTTCACTCCCATCTTAACATGATGTGGTTCAGCACAGTGTCATCTGCTAACAAGTGGGCCAGCAATGCTACATGGCAACAAGGTCGTTCAGAGCAGCCAAAGACACAGAAGAACATTTTGGATCCTACAATATCTGCACCACAATCTGCACCACCAAAAGTCAGTTCATCACATTGCTCTCTCTGGAGTTATTTTGAATGATTACAGATAGTGACATTGCCTCAGGAGTCTCAGCTCAGACTCTTGGAGGCCCTTGTTAAGGAGGTACGTAGCGTTATTTGTGCAAAGGACATGTTCATTCAGCCCAACCTGGGGCTTGCAGAGTGCACGCAGAAACTCATCAGCATCAATCAGTTCAATGAGCAGTAGATCACCATTATCATAGATCAAGACACCTGTGACTGAGCACAACCCCCCTGAGTACTGGGGTTCACAATCTTCTACATGCTCCAACCGTACTATTCAAGCTCCCCCTGAGGGCTTGAATCATTCTACTACGTCTTTACAGGTGATCATTGTTTTATGGCGGTAGAATAGACTTTGATGCAGCTCCACAGGAGCTCTTGGATAAACACAGCGATACGACACAGATGCAGTCTACTGTATGTCTTTTATATACTTCAGGCAATTAGAACTGATTTTCTTTTAGTCCTCTGGTGTCGAAAAGCAATCAGGCTCTGGATTGGGCAAGTCGTCTCTTGATAACGAGTCTCAGCAGTCATGCCAGTCCAAAGGAAAACAAAAGGCAATTGACGTTTCTTCGCCACTATCAGATCCTCATATATTACCTTCAGTACGTCTTGCAGGTTCTTCTCATTATTGCTGAACTGACAATGTCTTTCAAAGAACTCAGCCACCTTTTCTACTTTACCCAAATTACCAAACTTGCTGCCGCCGCCACCCACCCCACCTGCACCGACTGTTTGAAGCAACCCTGTGTCCCAACTGATCACACAAAATCAACAATTCCCGCCAGAGGCCATGGCCTCTATTATGTCATGGTTTTCTACAGGCTTCTTGCATGTGACTTCGACGCTGGAAGGCCACCAGTCAGCCATCACGAAGAGGATTGAAGACGATGTTAAGGAAATCTGTCAGATGTGCATGCGGACCCAGGAACAACAGAGGAATTTATCCTGCGAGCATTATGCAAAGTCAAAGTTTAAAAGAAAGAAGTGTGCTGGTTTTGTTCCTGATCCTAAGGATGATTGCGTAGATGCTCCCACTGATCATAGCAAGGTGACTTATAATGCTTTCAAGGTTAGTTGGTACTAAATTTGATTCATATTGGAGACTATGGTTACTAATGTCCGGCTGTCATAGGCATGTATCCATCAGCATGCACATCATCTTCTGAAAGTCAGCGATTATAGACTGTTAACTTCAAGCAACTGTAGCATCACTGAAGATGGGAACTTTGTGTACATCTCAAATACTCCCGGCTGCATCCAGATTAATGCAGACAACTTTCGTCTTGATCTGATGCGCCATTGAAGCACCAAATTCAACATCGATGCCATCCTTGTATTTGCCCTCAACTTCATCGAGAAAACTACCAAATTTGGTTGGTACAGCGATTCTAAAATTCCTGAATGATACTTTACTCGAAAAGCCGTGCAAGATGCATTCTATTCGCATTTCAAAACCATCCAAGACTATTATAAGGATATAGAGAAGGTTAAGAACGGAATGTCCATGGAGGAGCTTAAAGATAAGAAGCAGTTGGAGCTAAAGAAAAGTGCAAGGCAGTCAAGGAAAAATCAAGTACATGATCCGTTCACTCCAATATTTATGCTCACACTGATGTCCATTTCAGCTTTATGCAGAGCGATTGAAAGCTTTGTGCACTTGATGGTGGCCCATTTACACCATATATGGCTCTCTTACAGGAAGCAGGGAGCGCAGGGTGTAGTTCTGACGAATCTGAGAGTGAACCAGACCAGGAACCTGCATATTTGCAGAAGGCTCCTAGGCGTGCGAAGCACATTGGATACAGACGCATCGAGCCAATTTGGTGGGGCACCGCATTCCGCTCGCTGATGTATTGTATTGACGACCATGTTGATGACTTAAGGTCTTTGGGAGTCAATTCACGTCTTCCAGAGCCAACCGACAATGGAGTGGAAATGTACCGCGTACTAGACTTCACTCAAACAAGACAAATCCGTCAGTCTCAGCACCTCCCAGCCTTCCTCGAAATTGCTACAATTCAGTATGGTACAATTCACTCCCACTAGAAGCAAAGCTCCGGTTAGACATCAAAGACTGGGACTGGGATTTTTGCAATGGCAGAGTGTTGGAAGTCGAAGGTGCACCTCAGACTGGTCATGGAGATTATTGTGTTCTGGACCCATCGGATCCATTTGGCCAGCGAAGGATGTAGGTTGATGGAGACTGCGGAGAAGGCCCTTCGAATTCAGACAGTTAGATACTGTATGTTTGAATAGTGTTAAAATGGGAGTGAAGTGGGCCGCTTCTAGAGGCTACTGAGAGACCAGAAGAGATCAGACTAGAGTCCAGAGTAAGTTGCCAAAGAGGCAGTAAGCACTGGACTCTGGGATATGGGCGACGTATGGTAAACAAATGTAAACAGACAAGCCACAATCAAAGGGTAAGTAATAACTCGACCTAGGGACGTCCTAGGGAGATCAGGAAGTCATGTAAATAGGTAGCAAAGTGTAAGGAATGATACCATAAGTGACTGTCTCAACCCACAGAAAAAATCTATTTAATAGCCATAGCAGACTATACCAACAGTACAAAGACCAAAGTATTTAATCACTTTTTGTACCTTGCTGTAAAGTTGACCTTCATTGGAGACTGTCCAGCATTCTCCAAAGGGCCTGCATCAGTAGGAGATAATGAAGGGACCATCTACACCACTGCTATAGCATACTCCTTCTTGTGTAGAGTATATAGATTGTTCCTCTGCATCTTAATATGCATCTGTGCAGTGATATCATCTTTGCAGTCGCTGTGGAGTCCATAGTACAAGATGCAGGGGTCAAGAACATCAGAATACACAGATAATTAGCTAGCTGAACCAACTTGCAATAAAAAATAATGTGCTAGAAGCCCAGACATAGAAAGGTGACTTGTCAACTTTGAAGTAATAATCACTGAGCTTGTGATGAGCACTTGTCAGTGCCACCTGCAGCTTCAGTGGGGCTGAATTTGGAAGTGCTGCCAAGTCATCTCAAAGTGACTCCTGAAGTCTATGAAATATTGCATTGCGGAAGATAGTATAGGGCACTTTATTATGAACATTTGAGTGGTAGCAGAGCGAAAGGTCTTTAACCATTGTGTGACTAGCTCAATCTCTGCCCAATCACCATCAGAGAGTTTCATATAGCCTAAGGTCTTGAGTCTTTGCAATGAAGTTATCAATAGCTTGATGAAAATCAAGTGCCTGACAGAGCATCTGATATGTGGACAACCAACAAGTCTTGACATCTAAGATAAGTATGAGAGTGACTTAATTTGTCGCATTCTCAGCCTTCTTAAGAGACATTATGACTTCTGCAAGCCAAATTTTCCATCTCTGTATGCTTAAATGGACTGAATAGACAATTTTTTGAAGCTAGGATTGTCTTGTGGTAGAATATATAACACACAGCATAGTCATACCTTTATGACAGTAGAGAGCACCTACTGCAATGACTCAAGGTTATTACTGGCAGCCTTATCATTAGCCTTATCAAGAAGAGCTGTATAGTCATCATGCTTGTGATCGAGTGGTACCATAACTGAATCTTGATATATGATGTCATTTTGCTTTACATCTGGTTTGATTATGTCAATACCTTCAAGCAGCCAAGTGGATGATGTATGACAAGCAGGTAATGCATGAGTCCTTGTAAAAGAAGTTGATTCCTTCATTGGCACCTATTTCTCCAGGTGCTCCAAGTAGAGTGTCATTATTGGAGGCATTATCACATACAATTGCCATGACCTGATTTTTTAGTTTGTATAGCTCTAAGATACTCCACACTGCTTCAGCAAGATTAGCTTCACTATGTTCACTGATAATCTCATGAAAATTGATTAAAAGTTCTTCTATAAATATGCAGTAGAATCTAGTGTAACAAGATATAGCAATGACATGCCCAAATTCCAGTTATTCATAATATAATGCATGATGATGGCCAGGAAAGTCCATGTGTCAAGAAAGAGGCTGACTTTGGACTCAAGATTCTTTTATATTATATAGAAAATTAGTTGTTTGGGATGTGGAGTAACGAGCCTCTGTGTGCATAGTCTAAGAGTGCTTTAAATTCTGGTCATTCCACCTCCTCAAATGATTGGTCACATGCCACAAGTCACTATGCAAGCAGTTCTTCAAACTTGGCTTGGTTCCAATCTCCAAAAGCTTTGGTGACCTGTTTGTTGAATACATCAAGGAGCAATCATTGACTCCAGTGCAACCTCCCACTTCTGTCCCAATCACTTAAAGTTTAAGAATTTCACCCTCATCAAAGCACAAGATATACACACTGCAGACAGATCTAGTATATTAGCACAATAGGAAGAGGGGATGTGAAAATAGACTTACTTCTTGGAACAAAAAAGACAACTGTTACCCTTAAAGATATCCTATACACTCCAAAGATGGCCTTCACCCTAATATCAGCAAATAGGATCACTGCTGCAGGTTTTACAGTACATCTCGAAGATAGGATATGCAAAATCCTATCTTCTGCTCCAAAGCGAAACATTATAGCCAAAATAGCATAAACAAATGATGTTAAGAACATACTTAGGAGTCAGATCTAAAGGGCTTGGCTTTAGCTCATGTGCTGCACCCCTTATCTGAGTATGTGCCCTTAACTTCTGAGGGCTAAAGGAGTCTAGAAGTCCAAAGTCTGATACACATGAATTCCAATGGATGTTTGGAAACAAGAGAGAGAACTAATTCAGACAATGTCTGAACTAGAAAGAAACAGCAGAGGACTACCAGAGGTAGAGGTAGAGATGTTAAAGTCAATAGGAATCAATCCTAAGACTTATTGGAGGATGACATGGAAGAAACTAAAGTTGGATGAAGGCAGGAATAAGCAGAATCTTAAATGATATTCGAACTGAAGATGTACAGAGAATTTACAAGGTTTATATACTATAGGAAACATAATGGAAGATCAGCCAGCACAGTGTGAGGCTATGTACAAAGCATGTGGAAAGCTTATCAATAGTATAATGGAACATAATAAAATAGAGTCGGAAATGAATAGAGTCCAGATAAATGAGTACAGTCAGATATGGACATAACCAGAAGACCAGAAACAGAGGCTAACTAAAGGGGGATGTACAAAAAAAGAAAGAAGTAGAAGACAGAAGCTGGTTGGATCTGGAGATCCAGAGATAATTGTGTAAATGATCCAGGTCTGGAACACGGAATATGACAAATGGTCTATATCAAATCATAGCATCAGCATATCATAGCACCAACACAGTCAAGACAAAATGTACCATTAATGAACTACACCAACTGTTGGGATATGTATCTGAGGGCACTATCATGAATACTGTAAAGAAAGAATTAATTGAAGGAACAAACTTGAATATAACTATAACCTCCAAACCTAGTTTTTGCAAGACATGCATGTAGCCAAGGTCAGTCATCAGCCATTTCCTGAGGAATCTAAAATAAGAGACAAGACTTATGTAGAATTGGTTTACACAGACCTATGTAGATAGCAACTATAGGAGGCTGTTTGTACTATGTCACTTTTACAGATAACTATAGTGGAGAAATGAAGGTGGATTTTATAAAGAAGAAAAGCGAGGCACTTACTGCACAGGAATTGAACTGCAGAATTCACAACAAGATGTCTTCCACTCATCAATACTATTTAGCTATAGTCTCTATCTCATATCTCAAATCAAACACTCCAATAAATATCAATGACAACCATGACCACTGCTACTGCAACCACTTCAGGGTCTACTGTTCCCCCAGGCCTACTAATACTCCCATATTTAGGCACAAAACACCACCTAAATTTAAGAGTAAATATACATAAGTCAAGAAATTTATCAAGCAATATGAGACACTTTATCAGCAATATCAGATGACTTCCCAAGTGGACCTGTGTGAAAATATTACCCAGTATTGTTCAACTCAGGTCGCTGACCTAATCAAGGTTTTGGAAAGCTTCAATAGTCATAATTGAAAACAACTCAAGGCAGATCTATTGAATAACTTTGATGCAGACCATGATACAAAGCGATACAAACCAAAAAATTTGGTCAGATTTGTCCTCTATCAGAATACTATTATAATGAAAGTGTTATATGCATAAATTCACCATTATTGGTAGATGGCTCAAAATGCACAGCAAAATTAGCACAAATAATCATGCTACCTATCTATGGAAGAGTATACATAGAGATCTGTAAAACAGCATGGAAGGCAGGCTTATTGCTAGAGACCCATTACATGACCACACCATTCCCTATTCACAAACTGAAATTGTAGCTGCTGTTGAAGCTTGTTTATAAAGAGATTGATTCAAGACAAATCTTGCCTACTCAGACTCTGAAATTTCAGAAGGCAAAACTGATACATCCAGTTCTTCAGATTCTTCAGACAGTGAGAGTGATTCTGAATCTGAAGATGATTATAAATCAAGATGTAAATCAAGATACAAGAGACTTATTAAGACAAGGTCTAGATCAGTCAGGTATAGGGTGAAATTTGTAGATAGCTCAGATGATGAAGATTCAAGTGAATATTATAGTAAGAAGAAGAAGAAATTTTGGGTGAAGAAATCCAAAATCAATGATTTAGATATGGACAGCAGCTCAGAAGAAGTAGAGCAATGATGCTGCTTCACATGAAAAGAAAGAAAGAAGAAATCCAAGTCCAAGGACCCAGATCAGATAGAAGATCTGGTGAAGCATTTAAGCAATCTTTCAATTGATGATCCAAATTACATATTGCTGTACTTTCAAGCATTAAAAATAGACACTGTCATAGGAGAAGTATTTCCAAAGCCCCAGAAGCATGGAAGCTACACTGGAACCACCCCTAGAAATAGAGCAGCAGAAGCACCATTCACTCCAAGTTATCCAAACAATATTTAATTAAGACCTCCTAGATACACTTGTTTGGATGTAGAGGCAGTAATCATAGACTTCCACGGTGTTCAGAAGTAAATGCATGATGGGAAAATGGACTACTACAAAAAGACTAACACTACCAGGAGAACAAGAACTACAAAGACAGGGAGATGAAACCTTTGTTATGGCACAAAAACGGTACATAAGTCAACAAACGGCAAATGCACACTTCATACAAATAGTGACAAACAGTGAGTTAGATTTATCAGATCATAAAGTCTATTTCATACTTGCAGTAATGAGTGGGGCAGAAACAAGTGAGATTGAAGTAGAATATATAGTTTACCTAGCAGAACGAATACTGAGAGACAAGTCTGGTAAATGCTGAGCCATATTTGACAGAGTGTACCCACTGTCAGCAAAAGATCTTAGGGAAACGATGAAGAAAGAACATTGTCAGCATGTTGAAGATCGAAAAATAAAAGAGAACATACCTTTGAGTGCCCAGAGGGCAACAGGACCAAACATACTATTCATCCCTCAGGATCTAGGGACAGTCAGATAGAAGAACTGAAAGAAGAAAACAACATATCAGCGGACAAGATAATCAGCAGCAGACAGACTTACAATGAGAATTAGCAATGGTTTGAGGAACCAGCAAGAGTATACCCTGGTCCTGGCGCACCCCACAAAGAGAATTTGATTCTAACAATATGAAGAAATTGTCAGATATGGTAAACATGAGAAATAACTTATGAAAGAGGGCAACTGAAGTGTAGCCCTATGTGCCAATGCCAGTCAAAGAAATGGAAACAAAGCAGCGAGCACATGATGAGGTGTTACAGTAACATGGCATGAGTCCCCTGCCAGCAAGACAGCCCTCTGCCACCACACGGCTATAGACGATACCGGAGTCTCACCAGCTCTATGACGATAGATGACGATAGATGATGATAGACGATAAGCGGCAACTGCCGGCTTAGATAAGCGGTCTGGACCGCACGTGACGACACATGACGACATAGGTCTAGAAGACCTATTTATGTTATCAAGATAGAAGGCAAGCCTCGTGCTGCCTCATGTACTGATAGAAGGATGCCTCATGGATCCTATCTACGATAGAAGCCCGCCTCATGCACGCTATCTCTGACTCATGTAGATAAGCAGATTAGAACCCAGCTTTAGGCTGAGCTTAGATACGAAGAGTAGCCTTATATAAGGTCGAAGATTAAAGTAGACGTTCCTTACTTTAATCTTACTAGGTTTACCCTTGAACTCCTTGTCCCGCTAGTGCATTTAACACCAGTGAACACACAACAGCTGTGTTATGATACAAACAATGACAAAGCAATAATGAAGATACCTCAGTGGTGAGGACAAAGGAATGGAAGGACAATAGAGAAAGGGTATGTACAGAATAATATACAGACTTTGGGTGTTGCACCCAAGGTGTCAGTTCCCAGACCCAACTGGGAAGAGCCAAAACATATACCAAGAATATATGATTTAGCTGCTAGAGTGGACCCGAAGCTATTATTAGATCAAATTTTAAATAGCCTAATTCAGCTGACAGCTCGAGAAATATTAGCTGTATCTAAAGATTCATCCGGAAGTTTGATGGATTTAATCAAACCCAAAGCCAGAAAAGACCAGACAATTGTGGAGACTTTTCTTTCTCAGAATCAGAAGTTAAGAACATGTGGAGAATTAATTTACATTGATATGGAAATCAGCCCAAAGTACAAGCTATCTATGATACTGAAAGTAAGATAAATATTTTAGATACTTCTATATACAAGCAAGGGTTAGGATTACCTCCAGATATAGAACACTGAACCAGTCTTTGAGATGCAAACAGTGGAATTGGAACTCTTCAAGGAATAATCTGGGGTATCCTAATTGAAATAGGAAACATTAGAACAATAGGAAACATGTTACTCAATGAGAATGCACTTTTTGATCTATTGTTAGGATAATCTTGGCAATCCGAAAATAGAGTCAGTTTAATTGAACAAACCAATAGCACCTACCTAACATTTCCAAATCTAGTATTTAAAGAAGCGCCCAACCTAGAATTACTGATTACACTATATGAAGAAGTCACATGCCTGCCACCAACCATGAGAACAGTAAGTTTTCCCTCAGTTCGCCAATCACCAACAACATTAGACTCCCAACACTTCTGCCACCTCCACCACATATTGGAAGGCAACCTATTTCTTCCCTTTCCCTAGGAGAGGGAACTTTGGTCAATCTTAAGACTAAGTCAGCTGGCTCAGACTCTCTCCTCCTGCAGCAACTGCAGCCATCTACTCCTGGTCTGTTCCCGGACCCGCAAGTTCCTTCTCACTTTTCCATGATTTACCTCACCAGTACAGGTCACTCTTATTCCTGCAACCAGGTGTATGGAGGCTGGAGACCCCTTCAATAGGCTTATTTTTAGTATGCTGTTTAGTTTTTGCTTCCTTCCTATATCTAACCAGCCTCAAGCCTTCTCAGACACTCACTCTAGCATTCAGATGGACTCAGGCCATGCACCCTTCGCACCGGTTCCACCAACTTGTACCTCCACACCCTTCTCAGAGCAGTAGCCATCCCTAAATCTCAGGATCCCTAGGACAACTCAGCTCTTCCCACATGTTGAAGCTTATGAATGTTATTCACCCTCTTTCCCAACTATGTCCAAGTGTTTCTCTGACCTCTTTTCTCTGTTCATCATACTGCCAGCTCCTATGTTACAGGTGTCCGTTGCTGACCACTTCATCAACAGCTCGGATGAAGATGTTAGCTCTAGTGATGACTCATCTTTGATAAGTTCATCTGATTATGTCTCACCAGAAGACAAAATCATGAATGACATGTTCTTTAATTATCATTTGCCTACCTGCAACCCTTGCCTTCCTTTAGGTGATGTGCTTATTGCCACTAACCATCTCATGGTGGAATACAGAGCTATGTCTGACATCATTGCCTATCTATTATTTGAACCTCTATCTAACATAATGGTTGCTGACCACTCCTACCTATGTTGTAAACATTACTGAACCCTTTCAAGGAGTTCATTGTGGGTAAGACTATCATATTGTCCTTCCATTCAACCGTATCTTTTGCCCAAACTCTATCCACACTCTAAATCTTACAGTAGCACACATTTGTTTCAAGCTCAATGCTCATAACTCATGTGAAGTTGGCAAAACCTTCATTGTATTCATTTTGAATTTCTCTCAGTGGTTCATGCCATGCTAACTCCAGAATAGTCTAAAGACTGTAATGAAATCGAAGTGTGTCTCATCCTCATTGAGGACAACAAAGCACTGCCTGCATAGGTCAATCATGCCACATTCCTCCTCCAGACCTCACCCTTCTGCAACCTATTCATCACTTGTCAATAATTCACTTATCTGCATTTGGCAGCAGGCTATTTCCATTTCTATGGCTATAAATATACTTCTAACATGATTGACCATGTCCTACAGCTGACAGCACCAGATAAAGATGTAGTACACATCCTTTTGCAAGAACTCCTTCTTGACAGCCTCTTTCATACTAACATCAGACCTTACTCAAGTCTTGGAAGCATCCTGGCACTCCACAAATGCAAGCATTGTCAAGACTTCATAATAATCTGACCTGGTCCTGTTAGCACATAAGAGGACACATAGCATTATGACAATGTTTTGAATGCATAATTTTTCAACTCGCTCTCTTTGGGAGATGCATCTCCCCATCATTCAGTATCTGTGTCTCTCATCGTCAAGTGTATTAGTTGTGTCATGCAAGTCTTTTTGCCTATTTGTTTGTGCTTGAGTATATTAGTATTCAATGGTCTGGATCTCCCAATTTCTGACAAGTCGTCCTGTTGCAAGTTAGCTGAAAAAAACTCTAACATTTATGTTTGCTTATCAAGATAATGCATGTCACTCATCCTCATCTTGGTCATCAGCGTGGAAAAGTGTTTTCATTTGGATTCTTGTGTATTGTTTACTTAATCTTGCTTGTTTGTGTTTGTGCTACTATAGGCCCTTGTTCTATCAGAACTCACATTAGTAGTGTTTCATGCATTATGTGTCCCATCCTTAGTATCAGTTTATTGTTCCCTATGAATCATGTTTGTTTGTTGTTATTTGCTGTATGATGTACTAAGCTTGGAATTTAATTCGGTTTCTTGACAAAGCTACCTACAATTGTTTGTACACATTTTGAAGGGACTATTAGAGCCAAAGACATATAGTGTTTGTGTGGGACTTTATAGTGGGACTCCTATAAGTTGCAAAGTTATAAGTCTTAATGAATTCTCTCAGGGATGCAGGACAATACATTTAGCCTATTCATATTAGAACATTTCATTTAAGGTTCAAATTCAATGAACCTGAATATTCCAAAGGAGGAGATGGCATTTAAGCTATGTCCAAATATCTTAAATGACATAGGTACCAATTCAAATCCTTGGATTATGTCAACTTGTCCAATCAATAAATTTTGAAGTGTCAAATTGACATTGTCAATTCAAAATTACCAAGTCAACTGTCAAAACATGTAATAGTGACACCTGCCAAGTCTACATCAAATCAGAATGCAAATTTTTGAACCTGACAATTGCTATTTGGATGATGTTCAATACATTTGAAAGATTAGGAACAACACAATGACATCACCATCTCATACATAATACAGAGGACACTAGCATAACACCTGATTACATTAATACTATTTTTTTCAATTCATCTGTCAGCAACTTAATTCAAGTTGGACTACTCTAATTTCTCTTCAAACCCTATCCTAAAGCCTTTATAAGTCTTCCATCTATGACAGCTGTATCTCCAACCAAACTATCTTCACAACTTAGCACTGCTAGCAGTATGTCACCCCCTTTTATTCATGCTACTTTCATTACCCAGGAATACCCTGGAACACTGCTCAGTCAGAATCATTAGACAGCAACTTATATTCAGCTCCTTTCCAATCAATCTATTCAGCTCAAGGACACCTTGGTGTCAGAAGACCAAGTATAACTCATGTACTGCTACACTGGAGTAGTGGACAGAATACTGGGAGTATATGGAGGATGCATGGATATACAAGTCCAGAAAGACAGATCCAATAGGCCAATTCTTTCAATCACTCTGACTATGTCTCTTCATCATTTTCAACTTCCATTTCACTGGCACCTTAAATGTGCATATCAGCAATTTTGTCTTAATATTACAAATTTCTGTCATTGCTCTATGGTAAAAGTCGGTCAAATTTGGCACTTTTTGCAATTCTCACAAGTTCTCAGCTAGAGCCAGTATACCTGTAGATGATGCAAGGAGACATTCAAGCAGTACTGGATTTACTAGCAGCAGACTATCCTGAAGGATCTTGTGAGGAGATACCAGAGAATCTCTTAGAGAATGATGATTACTACTTCAAAGTTGTTGACCACACGACCACATCACTATCGTTATACCTAGCTAATTTGGCTTCCTCTATTCTTAACAGACATTATATGCCACCTTGGCACAGTCATTCTTTTTTCTACATATTGAGAAACATAGCTGGCCATTTTCAACTACATCTATACACAATATGCAATTTAGCTAAACCAGCTTGCTTCCAAAATACCCTGGACATATCTGATTCTTCATCGGATAAATCAATATCAAGTATTTCATAAAATAGTAGTACCAATTTGGATTAGACAATATCTGTCATGCCTCCATTCTCATACTATCAACTTCTTAACAAGTTCTCAAATCACGACACAGTGGAATTTTTGCTTCATCAATTGCTTGTCACTTTATTTCTTCATATTGGTACAGACCACAGAAATTCTTATTATCATTTAGCTAACATTATATACCTATGGTTTGAAAGAACACATTCTTCAGGACTGTTTTGTCTGCTACCAGAATTACGGATGGATCTTAGGAATCACTGAACAAGTTAGAACCTATCCAAACATGGTTTGAAAATATGTAATTGCCTAAATGCCACTCTACAAGGGACAAATTCTTAATTGCCACCTTAATATCCATTCATCGGGTCATGTCATTCTTAAACACTGTCAGGGAAATTTCCTTACTAGGATTGGGCTCAATGTCAATAGCTAATCAATGGACATCAAAAACTAATCATATTTTTCACTCATGTCAAAGAACTCTGCAAGTCGCAGGTCATTGACAACTTTGGCTGAGCTAAGTCATATTATGCATTCTTAAGCTACTATGAACAGCTTCTATGGCAAATTCAACATGCACAATGCTGCACCCCTAGACATTCAAGCATACATTACCACTACTCCTTACCCTGGTACCCAGCTCTTTCAGCATCACTGGATGGCCAGTCATGTCCACATCTACTCTCAGGAGTGTATCCGCCTCCATGACATTATTCATCTAGATGACATATTAAGAATGTGCTCAATGGTTTGGATCCGAAGGGCTTGGCTTCAGCTGGTGTGCTGTGCCCCTTGCCCAAGTATGTGCCCCTAACTTCCGAGGGCTAAAGGACAATGTCCAGAGTCTGGAGTCCAATGCACAGGAATTCCAGCAGATGTTTGGGAACAAGTGATAAGACTAATCCGGATGAAGTCCGAACTAGAAAGGAAACAGCGGAGGACTACCAAAGGTAGAGGTGGAGGTGGTAAGTCAATAGGAGTCGATCCTAAGACTATCAGAGACGACGAGAAGAGACTCAAGTCAGACAGAGGAGGGAATGAGCAGAATCTAAGATGATATTTGAACTCAGGAAATACAGAGACTTTACAGGATTTATATACTACAAAGGACATAACAGAGAATCAGTCAGCGTAGTGCAAGGCTATGTGAGGCTATGGACGGAGCATGTGGAACACCTAACACTAGTGTATCGGAACTTAGTAAAATGAAGACAGAAATGAATCAGGTATGGAAAATAAAGCACAGTCGGTTATAGGGATAACCGGATGTCCGGAAACAGGTGATTACCATAAGGGGATGAGCGCTGATTTAAGGTTTGGGTTTGGATATGAAGCATAGGTACAGGATATGACACTGAGAGAAGGATGGGCAGACATTAAGATTCACAGGTAAGGCCCTGGAAGAGTGGTCCCATATATATTGACCATTCCTACCCATTTTATTCAACTATCTATATTCTGGCACATTGAACTGAAATACTTGGAGCATCTGAGACCAAACTATTTCACATCACTGGACCTCCTCTCCTTAATCAGCCCATTTGCAGGACAGAGGACGATGAGGAGGATAGTAAAATCACAGAAGAAATGGAAGAGTTACCCTTTGAATTAGCAAGCACCTTTGATCTTGTTTATGCATTGAACACTGCGGAATGTGTCTACTCTTCACACCTAATACCAGCAATCTAGCGTTAGCAACACCCTTATGCCACAATAGATTTGCGAGTTATGTATCATTACAAGCAACACATTGGGTCCATTAGAGAATAAACACCATGTTAATGAACAATAATCTCAAATTTCAGTGTTGCACTAGACTGCGAGTTTTTCCCCAATATTCAGATAAATATCATATGATGACAACCATCATCTTCCAAATATTTCTGCCTACACTTGAGGAAGCCCTGTTGGACCACTAATTTGCCACTAAAGCTGCTTATTCTAAAAACACAAGAAGCATCTCTATTATCTCTTCACAAACAATCACTGTGTGAAGAAGGTCTTATAAAACATATCCTTAATATCAATTAATTTACTCTAAGACTTCTCATACATGAGAGTGTTTCTTTCTATGACCAATAATTTTGCACCTTAAACAACATTAATGCTCTATCAATGAGAGCTTCAACTAGTAGCAGTAATGCAATTAGCACCATCTCAACACTATGGAGGCAAATTATTTGAGAAGTTTGTTAATGCCTGATCTGAATATAATGGGAAATGAGAAAACACCCCATAAGGATAGAATCACCTGCTTTCACATGAAGATTTTTTTGAAATTAACTACTTTTAATCAATTCCATGTGAGTTCCTTTTTCCACCATTTTGGCAAATTCCAGTTATGAATAGCACACCAAGGAGATTCAACTAGCCTGAGAAACCATGAAATAGTTATACCCAAACTTGTCTATCCTATCTGCCACACATGGAAATCACTGAATGGACTGTGCCCCAAAAATTGGAGTATAAGAGGACCAGATTTTGCAACACTATAATATCTTAACTCATTCTATCAGTCCTTTGCACTATCCTTAGTAGAACCACCCATGTCTGGGCTCTAATGCAAGGTTCAAAGATCAGTGTCAAATATGCCACAACTGATTACTCAGCATTTCTCATGATCTCTTACATTTTCTCACACATTCCTCACAACTTCCTGTATGTTTTGAAAAATACTTAAGATAATGATTCAACATATCAACAGTTCCTAAATGGTCAATAGCTTAGTCAGATGACATGGATTAATCAGATATTTGAGTGGAGAAAGTTTGTAGATGGGAATATTTGAGAAGTGAACAAGTCATCCTAGAACATTTCAAATATTGAGTCATTATGAGTGGTCCAAAGTTAATAATGACTAGTCTAGAGTGGAAATATTGGATCCAAACCTTTTGTGTCAGGTGGTATGTGGAGAGTTAGGTCAGAAATGTGTTGGAATCACAGGTAATGTTGAAGAAATAAATGTTGAGTTACTTTCAGATGTTTCAAGTATTTTGGATAGTGACAGAATGATATTTCAGAATTCAACAAGGAACTACTAATATTGGATGACCTTCATCCTACAGGAAGATAGAAAGGTAAAGTAATGAATAGGGAGGATGTATATGAAATATATACTGTCCCTATAGAAATTTGTGGCACCCTCTGCGCCAATTCCTAGATCTCTGCTGCACTTTCTTCTCCTTTAGGGTCAAACACAGTTGTCACCACAAGCATAGTGGCTTAGGCAAGCAAGACCCAACACATTGTTCAGTATCCACCCATCTGAATTGTTGTAGCCACAGTGCTTTGAATTCTCCCCACAGAAAAGATATCCTGTGTCATAAAGAGAATGACAAAACTACACTAGATGACTGATAACCGTGTACCAGCTAGTGTAACTTAAGAATTGGCTCAAGGTAGGCCTCAGAATATTTAGTATGTTATGAGTCAAAATCTGTTTCTCTTGGACTGTGCAGGTTTGAAACCTGCCAGTGATAAAATTCATTTTCTATGAAAACACACCTTGAAATTTGCTCATGGTCGGTTTGCTTGCAAGCTGATCACAGTTGTATTAAGCTAAGTGGCTGTCATAACAGAATCAAAATCTGTTTCTATTGGAGTGCAAAAAGCTTGAAACTTGTTGAATGCACCTCGACCTCACATAAACCTTACCTAAGAAGCTTGCTATACACAGGTGGGGATGTCAGGCTTCTTAGAATAGAATTCACAAATCCCATACACTGCCAATAACTGTGCAATAAATTCTGAATATCTTACCTTAGGAAATATGAACGCTAGAGCATGTAACCCGGTAAATAGCCACTACATATGACAAGCGCAAACATACCCAATTTGGTAGTCGTCATGCACAATGCTTCCAAATCAGGCAGCACATTGCCAAACACCCTTCGCTCGCTGTTCTCCACAGCAAGCTCACATATGTCACTCATTTCTCTATTAATTTATGCCATTTTTTTTCCACTCTTTTGAACAATATAACATCAGAATTAATTGGGAACCAAACTAAGACAGAGGGAGTAGACAACAACACTACAGGAAGACAATAACGAGCAAAAACAGTGAGATGAAATAAAAACACATCTAGGCATTAGCTAGGGCTGAAGCCCTGTCCTTCCTTTGTCCACCCTTCCTTCCTTTGTCCGACTGTTCCTTCCTAGCCTTCTTTTGCACAGGGATGCCCTCTCCAGATGCTGCAAAAACAACAGTCATCACATTTGATGAGCACTTTGTACCTCATGTTGTTGGGTCGGGTTGAGTGGTAGGCGAGAGCACTGGGGCAGTATTGGTTGACTCAAGAGATGGTGTAGGTGTTTCTGTGTTGGAGATTGGAGCGGAGACATCATGATCTTTGCAGTTTGAGTTCTTGCCCAGTGCTGCTTGGAATCTCTCTGACTCCGACTCTTCGAACTCATCCTCTGTAAGTTGTCAAAAACGAGTGGTGCCCATATCCCATGCATGGTGGAGCACTCGAAGCTCATTCCGTGAGTTGATGTCTCCAGGGCAGCAAAATTTTGAAAGCGGCCAGTTCTCGAGCACAACACAATATGTTGCTATCAAAGTTAGTGTAGTACATGCGCAAGACCTGCGCAGGAGCAGCGGCAGTTTCTAGACAAAAAAAATGTCAGTAAATTATCAAAGGATCTAAAGTAAAAGAAAACTTGTGAAGCTTTCGTAAAATAAGCTCACTGAGTGTCTTCTTCAAGTCCAGAACTTCTTCGACATGAGTCATTGCAAGGCCTGTACATAGTGAATGAGACAAAATTGAATATCCAACGAAACGAACATACCTTGGATCCCGGCAATACAAAACCCTTTGAAACGAAATGCAATGCTTGCTAAGGAAGACTTGATGCAATAGTCGAAGAAGTCAGCTCCTTGAGCTGTGTAAAAGATGTGTGGTTGGTTCCAATGCTTGGTGTCTCCGTGTACCCCAAGCAAGATAAATTCCATGCCTGTTTGAGCATGCAAAGCATTGAGCTAGACCTAGTCATAAGCTGCTGAACTCATACTACGAAATAAAAGATAACATGGACTGTACCTCTCAGTCAATTGACTCCAAAGTCCTTTGTGCGTCAGCAAACACACTAATCATGGTGTTGTGAATAGCATATCCTTTCATCTCCCACTGCTCAATAATAGACTGAATTCCACCGGCTGTTGCAGTCTCTTGCTCCCCTGCTGACATCGCCTTTTAACGAGTGTGAATGTTGGGCATGAGTTCAGATGCCTTGTGGCGCTTCTCGCCAGCAGGTAAGTCTGGTTGAAAATGTCATCAGATTTGACAGTAAAACATGAGGGAAACAATTCAGAACATACCTGAGTTGATGCATTGAACTTCTTGCTTGATGAACACATTCCATTTATTCACCTTCCGTGTTTTCTTCAATAGATGTGATTGTTGCATAATTTCTTCATAGTAATACTCAATGGAATGACGACCAAACCTCTCTTGCAATGCTGTGGCTTGATCCATGACAACCTGTCTTGCTTCTGCTAACTTTGTGGTATAGTCTACCATGAACTGCGTGCACCTCATTTTCAAGAGGGCTTTCTGAGAGGCTGATTTCTTGATGCATTCCTTCGTACAATGACGTTAAGGAGTCCATGTTTTAGCAGTCAAAATTTTTCGCATAGATGCAGCATAGCAGTGAAGTGCATTCTCAGCAGTAGGCTTCACCATGACTAGTGTACAGAAGGAAAAGTTGTAGCGAACACCAAGCGAATAGACAGCATGAAAATATTGTGAGGCCACGTGACTATCTCTGGCAGCAATGCATAGTCTAAAGTCTTTTATCTGTGAAGGCATTATCACAGGTAATGAGTCCCCAGAGAAAATGAGCTTCTGCGATAGGCATGCCGTCAGTAACAGCCTTTACAAATTCAATGCATGAGGCACTTGAGTTGTGAGCACATGTGATGTGCAGGATTGCTTTTGCCATGTATCCATGTGCTTGCAAGTACCAATCAGCCATCAGCCCAAATGACAGCATTGGTGTGTCATTGAAGAGTGGCTGGCAAAGCTCCCCGTAGATACCATCAATCTCCCGCAGATACTGATATAGCAGAGGGGATTCAGGAGATAATATGGTAGTAGATCTTGAAGTTGCAGCTGGCTTCTTCCAAGCACAAGCTGAAGGGACATGAGGTGTTAGCGGAGAGGCACGAGGGCTGGATAGCACAACCCTGGTTGAAGCTGATATTGCCGGAAGGGTACAAGGGTTGGACGGCGTCATCTCCCTGGTTGAAGCTGGTGATGTGAGAGATATATGAGGGCTGGATGGCACATCCCTATCATCATCTGCATAAAAAGTCCATATTAGTTTGCAATTCACACATAGAGAAGAGGGTTACTGACTTAAAGAAAGACGGGGAAACGTCAAGCTAGGTCCCGCCGGACTGGCTAGGTCTCTGGCATTGCCAAGACGGTGACCTTTGGTGATAATCCATTCCAGAGCATCTTGAAGATTGTGTTCCTTCTTGAAGACTGGTATTGAAAAGCCTGATACAGAGGCATTGCACTCCAGCCTTATAGCGATCATGAACACAAAGAATTCGAAACAAATATTGGTACTCACCAACTCAAAAAGATACCTGACTGATAGCCAACAAGCACCATGTAGAATTTCATCACCTCATCCTTCAAAAGTGCTGCAACATCAGCCGATTGGTAAAAAATGCACGCAGCGTCAATTGCAGGAGTATCATCATTGATGTTTTCAATAAGATGTTGTAGTGTATCGTAGACCTTCATAGCCTGTGCCAACAAGTGACATTTAATGGGTACTGGGAAGGGGGGACTTCAAAAGCCACAGGTAATGGATGGCTGTATCTTGAAAACACCAGGATTTGAGCCGCCAATCATGGCCCAGTGAGAGTTAAGATCAGTAGACATGCACAGATCAAGGATAGATAGATTGAAGACAAGAATATAAAATATAAGCGGTAGAGAACCCACTTGTAGTAAATACTGGAGAGAAATGAAGACGATCAATGTGACGATCAACAGCTTTGAAGTGGGTGGTGGGACTGTGATCAGAGTGAACTTAAAGCACACATTAGACCGTGTTGATCAGTGATTGGCTATGACAGTAGTGACTTTCTAGGCAGATTGAACATTTGAACCTTTGAGTTTTCATAGATGATGCTCTGTTGGATTGAGCATTGGAACCTTTGAGTTTTCGTAGACGATGCTCTGTTGGATTAAGCATTGGAACCTTTGAGTTTTCATAGGCAGAGCTCCTTCGGATTGAGCATTTGAACCTTTGAGTTTTCATAAGCGATGCCCCATCAGATTGAGCATTTGAATCTTTGAGTTTTTGTAGACGATGCTCTGTCATGTCTTAGAATGAGATCAAGTGCACATATGAAACCATGATATGAGTTCACAAAACTATGCAACCACAATCAGTGCAGCACCATGTCCGAGATGTAATCTACAAGTGTCCCAATGTCCCTCTCATTTCCATCGTCATCTTCATCTTGTCCCTCGTCATAATCTTCATTCTGCTGTAATACTTTTGCTGCATTTATGATGGGTGATACCCCCCCCCCCCACCAACTCTGATGCCACATGATGTGTCTCCAGTGAAACCTTCGAGAGCTTGAATCTGAGTAATGCAGGAGAGAATGTGAACATTGATATGACAACGCTGAGTGCAAAAGGCATCAACGGCAACATATATGGGCAAAGCTTTGAGGCTGGCAAGGGTGCGCACAAACATTTGATCCTCAGCCGATATAGCAGTCTGCAGACGGCGAACTTCAACATTACATCTAAGTATCTCCTCCTTAGCACGTAAGATGTGAAGATGCTGACACATCGTCTCCTGAATAGCAGGCTTTGCCCATGGTTTGTTGCGAATGTCCTGTTGAGTTTCGTGGAGAAGGTTAAATTCCTCAAGGAAGCTGTAATGCGAGACCTTGGACCATTCAAGTGCCGGTCACAGGGGTTGTAGTTCTGAAGCAGTGTCATTGTACTTCTGAACTGCATTTTGAATGGCATGGCAGCATGCTTGAAGAGACTTGGCAATATGTGTGTGCATTTTGTATGCTATGTGAATTGAGTTACACATCAACAAAGAAAAAAGGAACATACCTGTTTGTGAGACGTTAAGTCTCTGCAACTCGAACAGACACTGGACAACAAGGCATTGAAGATTATCCAATGCCTTGTGATACTTGCAAACGCACATATATTTGAGGGTTTCTTGGTACTCCAGGGATGATGGCTGCCAACAATGCGTAATTCCTAGCTTCACCTCCATGGTTACAACGTCATGACATGTAGCATCGAGTCTTTCGGCTGCACACTGTCGCTGAGTCTCCAGCTTGTGCATTTGCGACAGATTTGCAGCATAGAAGTTGGATTCTCCATCAGATGGTGCTCTGAATTGATAGTTCTCGGGGGCGGTAGAAACAAAGGAAGTAAAGCCTGCTGAGGCCTGAGCACTGTGAAACCCATCAGCAGAATAAAGCTAACAATCAAAAGCACACACTCTGCTTCTTGTAGCTGTTGAAGTAACTCCACATACACAACAGCGTGCACATCCCACTCAGGCTCTTGCCTGAGAGCGTGGAAATACTCAATCTCTTCTGAATGCCACTGCTCAATGTTCCCTTGCTGAATGTTGAGGGAGGCCATGGCCTCCCTCAATGCCAGAGTATCGGTCGATATGATGTGCAGTGCCTGGCAATAGTTATTGAGTAACATAGTACCAAGGTTCATATACTTCTCTTCATCCCACTGTGCGAAAAAAGGTCCAGGAAAACATGGTGGCGGTATGAACTAGCATAGCGAATGACAGGCGCAAGCACATTCGATGCACTGAAAATATGTTTTGTAGCTCCAAAGTCCTCAAGACCAGCACCCTCAATTCTGAGAGGATGATGTTGAGTTTGGCAGATATAGTTATGCGCGATGAAGGTACAACAATTCAGATGGTGAGTCTGAACAATGTTGGGTCTTGCAGAACCTAGCTGCTATTCGACCCTAAAGGGTTTCTGGACCAGGCTCAAGGCTCAGAGGAGAGGAAATGTCATAAAAACTGCTCAAGACTCAGACTCATACTAGTAACTGGTGAAAAGGTAACTTCCTTATGTAAGCTACAAAGTGCCAACATAAGGTAAGGTAAAAACAGTCTCTACAAGCCTAGCCAGAAATGAATCCCTACAGCGAATCTATGGAAGGAGTCAATGCACAAATGTGACTCCTGCTCTGTGAAGGCCGGTCCCAGTGAACTCGCCTTGACCATTGCAGAAAATCCACAGCCTATGTTGTAGGCACCAAGGGTATGATTTCCGATGATGGCAAGAACCTTGGCGACTATGGCAAGCAGATATTTGGCCCTGAGGGAAGGTTCAGTGAGGTCACGCTGTGATTAAAAATATGTACAGTTCCCCACTCCTCATCATATCAGTGTACCATAGGATGAGCCCATGTCTGCAGGCGCCAACAAATATGCCAGTCTCCTCAAATATGGCCCACATTCTCTTTTTCTCATCTGACGCAGCTGCCTTCCAATTTTTACTGCAGTCAGTGGCATTCACATTGTTCACAATGTCTGATACAGCAAGGTCCTCGTTGTCAGGGTCATTATGTAAGGGCACAGGTTCAGCAGGTGTGGGGCAAGTGCGGACTTCATGGCTGAAGGTGTTGATGAAATCCTGGGGGAGAAGGTAGTCACATTCTGTGTAGACATGAGTATCACCGCATTGTCAATTGCCAAGGGTCGCCATGCGCTTGGCAGAGTTTCCTCCATCTATGACATACATCCGCCTGAACTTGAGCGGTGGTTCGTCTTACAGCTCGTACGAGCATGGGGGACAGGCATTCAGCACGCGCCAATCAGGGGAATCACGTCCAAGGGCTACCGAGACCTGTCTATCAACATCTTGGAGGATAGAAAGGTAAATGTCAAACATCTCGGATAATATAGTACAGTACATGCGGTGGAAAGGTATCTGGACACCTGTTAGTAAATATGATAGAATTGATAACTTGACATACTGAGTACGAATCACATATCACCTTTGAAAATGCTTCAATGCTGAATGATGGTTTCCGGAGGCGAATGAGGCAGTAATGCTCCAGTGTGCGCAGAGATACAGCTATTGATGGGTTATGAGGCATATTGCCCAAAAATCCTTGGATGATGAGCGATTAGATCGGCGATACTGAATCTTCTCCTTGTGGGATGTAAGCAGACATACTTAGCATAAAGATGTCGACAATGGAAATGGTAAGTGAGAGGTCTGCTGAGTCCATTGCGGAACACTCAGGTCCTGGTGGTAGCTCATATACAGCACTGCTGCCGGTTGCCTTCCACTGAAGGAATGCAATGACTAATGCAGGGAGGATAGAAGCCCAGTTGGCATGGAGTGAGTCTAAACGTTGATGCCACGTACGCGCGTCCTTATACTTTCGGTATGTCCACCTGTGATCATTGAAGAGATACATGTATAGGTAAAGAAAGGAAGCTGCTAGAGATGTGGCACCTCATGTATATAAGGAGTGACCCAATATGGAATCAGGAAAACCAAGCTTGCAGTTAACATAGAAGTAGTAGACTTTGGAATAGGAATAGGAATATTATATTGACTCAATTGAATGTATAACAACATTTTTGTTCTATGAAATCACACCTTGACATTTCCTTATCAAGATCAATGTCTGAGATGCTGTCCATGAGCAGATATTTAAGACATGTTCTAATAGCAAAAATGCATCATTCAACAGATTTCAAACTCCATAAAGAAATAATATCAAGGCATATTTTTATAGAAGAAAATATTTTATCATTGATAGGTTTCAAACCTGTCACAGTTCAGGAGAAACAGATTTTGAGTCTGGTGATCACTTGCAATTTCATCTTCAGCAGATTTTGAACCCACAAAGACAGATTTAGATTTTGTTGTATCAACTGCTTGGCTAAGACCAGTTGGATGCACTTCCAATGACCTCATTCAAAAGTGAATCCTCAAGGCACATTTATTTGCATTTTGTCAGTTCTTTCAATATACATCATTATACAGATTACAGACCTGCTTAGTTTAAGAGAAATATATTTTGACTCTGGCAATCACTTGGGATTCACTTATGAATGAATTCATTGGGAGTGCATCCAACTGGTCTTAGCTGAGCAGTTGATACGACAGAATCCAAATCTGTTTCTCTTCAGACTGTGCAGGTTTAAAACCTGCTAATGATAACATTTATTTTATTTTATGAAAATGCACCTTGATGGTTTGAAACACATTGAATGCTGCATTTTTTCTATTAGAAGATGTCTTGAATATTGAATCGTAGACAGTCTCTCAGACACTGATCTTCATTAGTCTTAGTCAAGTTGCCACCAGAGTCAAAATCTGTTTCTCTTGAACTGTGCAGATCATAACATTTTCTCATAGATAGTTTTCTCAAAAACTTATTTAAAAATAGTCCTAGCCACTATTGAAACCCATCAGATGACACACTTTTTTCATATTGCAACATGCTCAATTGAATATGCTAACATTCATATTGTTGGCTCTCATATCTTCACCCTGCACACTTCATAGTATTATTCCACTCAGTTTGCTTCCTTGCAGCAGTCAGATCCTGATGGGTGTGAGGTCAAAATTCTGAGAGTAAGAAACAGTGTCCAATGCCAAAGCATTGGATCTGAGATTTTTGGGTTTTTGGTTTAGAATGAAAATAAAAATGTTATCATTGGTAGTTTTCAAACCTGCACAGTTCAAAAGAAACAAATTTTGACTCTGGTGACAACTCGACTAAGACCAATGAAGATCAACATTTGAGATGCTGTCTTTGAGCAGATATTCAAGACATGTTCTAATACAAAAAATGCATCACTCAACAGGTTTCAAACCTATAGACTTCAATAGAAACAGATTTTGAATCTATTGTGGCAATGACATGGCTAACATCAGTTGAGATCAGTTTTTGAGAAAATCACTCATGAGACAATTGTCAAGGATGTGTTTTCATAGAAAATATATTTTATCATTGGCAGGTTTCAAACCCGTGCATTCCAAGAGAAACAGATTTTGACTCTGGTGATCACTTGACAATGTCATCTTTAGCAGGTTTTGAACTCACACAGACAGATTTAGATTCTGTTGTATCAACTGCTTGGCTGAGACCAGTGAGATGCACTTCCAATGGACCCATTCACAAGTGAATCCTCAAGCCAGTTCTTTTAATATTATGGTCACCATAATTAATTCTTAGGCCTGCTTATCTAGCAATTGCTCTGAAAAAGTGCTGATGGCAGACTACTACAGTGGGCCAATGATGTTTGTGATGTCTTTTGGATTAATAGCTGGGTCATGAATGACAACTGACAATGGAAGGATCATATATGATTGGACTCAAGGAGAATGTTAGAAATTAATGTTAGAACTGACAAAATGCAGATAAATGTACCTTGAGGATTCACTTGTAGATGGGCTCAAATCATGCTTTGGGGTTTCTATAGCTTTCATCCCACTGTCATGCAGTGCAAATATGTTTTCCATCTCACCTCACCTAATTTGCTCATAGACTAAACTCTATAAATTCAATATATGACCAAAGTCTTGATGTAAACTCAAAATGATAAGTACAAGAGCAATTTTATTTTATTCAAAGGTCTTGACTTGGTTGAAGAAGAAGAGCAGATTACACATCAAACTTTTAAGTTTGATCCTAATGACCTGAGGAATGAGAAAAAATACACATCTTTCAAGGCTGAGATTCAAGGCAAAGATTCAAAAGAGCCATCTAGCCATTATTCACTTATGTATAAGGTTGAAGTGCACTGTATTTGAGACCTTTCATCATCATGTTGCTCTCCTCTTGCTTTTTTAAAGTGCTGTATTGCGGTCTGTATTCAATTTATCTGTTCAGCTGAGGAAAACATTGCAAGTGACAGGGATAGTAGACTTGCCTTTGCAGATTCACTTCTGAATGTTTTCTTTAAAGATGGATCTAACCAGTGTTAGTCAAACAGTTGCTGCAACAGAATCCAAATCTGTGTCAAATCTGTGCATGTGGGTTCAAAACCTGCTAAGGATGAGATTATCAGAGTCAAAATCTATTTCTCTTGGACTGTGCAGGTTTCAAACCTGCTAATGGTAATATTTTTATTCTATGCAATTACACCCTAACATTTCCTGATGCAAGTACAAAAATATGAAAGCTCAGAATCCAGTGAATTCATGCACTTATGATATGGTGGTCTTTATCCATGCTATTGCCCACCAAGTTATATATATTTACATACTCTCTTTACAAGCACTTTGGCTCTGCCTTGTGGAAGCATGTTTAGTGAGGCATATGCACCTATTTCTGTTTTTTTGTAACTTAGCTTTCTACAATGCACTACCACTGTATCGTTTCAAGCACTCCCATAGCACAGTTGAACCCACATGCACAGATTTGACACAGATTTGGATTCTGTTGCAGCAACTGTTTGACTAACACTGGTTAGATCCATCTTTAAAGAAAACATTCAGAAGTGAATCTGCAAAGGCAAGTCTACTATCCCTGTCACTTGCAATGTTTTCCTCAGCTGAACAGATAAATTGAATACAGACCGCAATACAGCACTTTAAAAAAGCAAGAGGAGAGCAACATGATGATGAAAGGTCTCAAATACAGTGCACTTCAACCTTATACATAAGTGAATAATGGCTAGATGGCTCTTTTGAATCTTTGCCTTGAATCTCAGCCTTGAAAGATGTGTATTTTTTCTCATTCCTCAGGTCATTAGGATCAAACTTAAAAGTTTGATGTGTAATCTGCTCTTCTTCTTCAACCAAGTCAAGACCTTTGAATAAAATAAAATTGCTCTTGTACTTATCATTTTGAGTTTACATCAAGACTTTGGTCATATATTGAATTTATAGAGTTTAGTCTATGAGCAAATTAGGTGAGGTGAGATGGAAAACATATTTGCACTGCATGACAGTGGGATGAAAGCTATAGAAACCCCAAAGCATGATTTGAGCCCATCTACAAGTGAATCCTCAAGGTACATTTATCTGCATTTTGTCAGTTCTAACATTAATTTCTAACATTCTCCTTGAGTCCAATCATATATGATCCTTCCATTGTCAGTTGTCATTCATGACCCAGCTATTAATCCAAAAGACATCACAAACATCATTGGCCCACTGTAGTAGTCTGCCATCAGCACTTTTTCAGAGCAATTGCTAGATAAGCAGGCCTAAGAATTAATTATGGTGACCATAATATTAAAAGAACTGGCTTGAGGATTCACTTGTGAATGGGTCCATTGGAAGTGCATCTCACTGGTCTCAGCCAAGCAGTTGATACAACAGAATCTAAATCTGTCTGTGTGAGTTCAAAACCTGCTAAAGATGACATTGTCAAGTGATCACCAGAGTCAAAATCTGTTTCTCTTGGAATGCACGGGTTTGAAACCTGCCAATGATAAAATATATTTTCTATGAAAACACATCCTTGACAATTGTCTCATGAGTGATTTTCTCAAAAACTGATCTCAACTGATGTTAGCCATGTCATTGCCACAATAGATTCAAAATCTGTTTCTATTGAAGTCTATAGGTTTGAAACCTGTTGAGTGATGCATTTTTTGTATTAGAACATGTCTTGAATATCTGCTCAAAGACAGCATCTCAAATGTTGATCTTCATTGGTCTTAGTCGAGTTGTCACCAGAGTCAAAATTTGTTTCTTTTGAACTGTGCAGGTTTGAAAACTACCAATGATAACATTTTTATTTTCATTCTAAACCAAAAACCCAAAAATCTCAGATCCAATGCTTTGGCATTGGACACTGTTTCTTACTCTCAGAATTTTGACCTCACACCCATCAGGATCTGACTGCTGCAAGGAAGCAAACTGAGTGGAATAATACTATGAAGTGTGCAGGGTGAAGATATGAGAGCCAACAATATGAATGTTAGCATATTCAATTGAGCATGTTGCAATATGAAAAAAGTGTGTCATCTGATGGGTTTCAATAGTGGCTAGGACTATTTTTAAATAAGTTTTTGAGAAAACTATCTATGAGAAAATGTTATGATCTGCACAGTTCAAGAGAAACAGATTTTGACTCTGGTGGCAACTTGACTAAGACTAATGAAGATCAGTGTCTGAGAGACTGTCTACGATTCAATATTCAAGACATCTTCTAATAGAAAAAATGCAGCATTCAATGTGTTTCAAACCATCAAGGTGCATTTTCATAAAATAAAATAAATGTTATCATTAGCAGGTTTTAAACCTGCACAGTCTGAAGAGAAACAGATTTGGATTCTGTCGTATCAACTGCTCAGCTAAGACCAGTTGGATGCACTCCCAATGAATTCATTCATAAGTGAATCCCAAGTGATTGCCAGAGTCAAAATATATTTCTCTTAAACTAAGCAGGTCTGTAATCTGTATAATGATGTATATTGAAAGAACTGACAAAATGCAAATAAATGTGCCTTGAGGATTCACTTTTGAATGAGGTCATTGGAAGTGCATCCAACTGGTCTTAGCCAAGCAGTTGATACAACAAAATCTAAATCTGTCTTTGTGGGTTCAAAATCTGCTGAAGATGAAATTGCAAGTGATCACCAGACTCAAAATCTGTTTCTCCTGAACTGTGACAGGTTTGAAACCTATCAATGATAAAATATTTTCTTCTATAAAAATATGCCTTGATATTATTTCTTTATGGAGTTTGAAATCTGTTGAATGATGCATTTTTGCTATTAGAACATGTCTTAAATATCTGCTCATGGACAGCATCTCAGACATTGATCTTGATAAGGAAATGTCAAGGTGTGATTTCATAGAACAAAAATGTTGTTATACATTCAATTGAGTCAATATAATATTCCTATTCCTATTCCAAAGTCTACTACTTCTATGTTAACTGCAAGCTTGGTTTTCCTGATTCCATATTGGGTCACTCCTTATATACATGAGGTGCCACATCTCTAGCAGCTTTGGGTGTCTCAGCTGATTGTATTCAAGCTATAGGCTGTTGGTCCAGTGATTCATTTCAGATTTATGTACAAAAAAACCTGGCACTTCTTCATGCTCTCATATTCAATAGCCAGTCTATTCATGATTCTGTGGCTCCATTTGATTTGATCCAATTATATTGTATTATTGTTCCATTGTTTTATTTGTATGCCCTTGCTAATATGTTGTCTCTTCTACTTTATATTTATATGTCCCTCCCTCCCTTCATACACTGGGTGTGGGATCTATCTTTTCTGCCAAAAAAACAGTAAACTTTTTGAAAAAAAAGGTCAAAATTTATCTTTCATTTTATCTGCCTAAAAATTATGACACAAAGATATAATGGTTTTCTGGATTATCTCTCACACAAATCATGAATACATCAAAATTTTATGATCTCAATTTTCTCATTATATCTCACATTAAAATTGCAAAATAATGTTTACATTTGTGGCTGAACAAAATTCTGGACAAATTGGAAGCAACACAGGTTATGATGTTTGAGAAACATTAGTGGGAATCAGAGTAGAGTTCTAAACTCACTAGAGCGCTCGGTAAAACACTGGCTAAGCGCTGAAGGTACAACAATTCAGATGGTGAGTCTGAACAATGTTGGGTCTTGCAGAACCTAGCTGCTATTCGACCCTAAAGGGTTTCTGGACCAGGCTCAAGGCTCAGAGGAGAGGAAATGTCATAAAAACTGCTCAAGACTCAGACTCATACTGGTAACTGGTGAAAAGGTAACTTCCTTATGTAAGCTACAAAGTGCCAACATAAGGTAAGGTAAAAACAGTCTCTACAAGCCTAGCCAGAAATGAATCCCTACAGCACTCTAGCACAGCCAACAACGAGGAGTCGGCCGGCATGAAGTCAGAGTCTAAATAACCATGCCTACTGTCCGCCAACGTGTCCGCCGTTCTGCAAGGCTTCAAGCAAATGGTCGTACTCGCCCAAAGGCGATGGAGTTGCCCCCAAATCCATCCACATCCCGTGGAAGAGGGAAATATCGAGGACGTGGGTCCAATCCCGCTCGTAATCAGCCTCCTAAGGCTGCTGGACCGAAGATAATCGTCCATTGGACCAGGGCCCAAGATCTCCACTGCACAGACACTCTCGTGACCCACCTTACCACTAATCCTTCCGATGCACGCACTCTTTTCTACGAGGGGAAAAAGACCGCCAGTTCTAGCACTGAGGAGTGTCCCTCTGGCAGGGACAAAGAGGACATCTATTGAATCTTGTCGAAGCTGATCTTCGAGAAGGACTCCGAATATTCAGCGTTATACGCTGAGGACCCGAAAAAATTCAATGTATCAGTGGGCAACCACTGCACTGCATAAGTGGCCTCCTTTATTCAGATTTGTTGCCACTAATTTAAATATTTAAAGTCTTAGGAAGTTGTTTAGGGATCACCACGATAAGTTCAACAAGACCGGCGCTGGCGTCACCCTGCTTGACAAACACGCAGCCGCCAATCTTCACAGTGAGTTTTTTGTCATTGTTTTTATATTTGTTTGATTTATTTGATTTAAAGAACAAGTATTACTGGAGTTCCCTTGGTATGACCAGCTCCACCCATTCCTCTTCTCCAATCCAACAATCGGCGCGAAGATTTTCACCTCCCAGCCAGGAGTTGACCACGCCGCAGATTACTACTTGCTCATTCGTCCACATGGGGGGGCTGGTCCCTCTACAAACCCACCTGGTCCTCAGCTCCCTCAACCAGACCCTCAGCTCCCTCAGCTCCATCCTCAAAACTCTCAGCCCCCTCCCCCAGACCCCCAGCCGCTTCCCCCAGACCCTCAGCTCCCTCTCTGGAGCCCACCTGACACTAGCACTCAGTGCGCTCCTCCAAGCATTCGGCCCGGTCCCACGGGCGCTCAGCACGCCCTCCCAAGTACTCTGCATCCCCCCCCTTCACAGCACCCCCCTCCTCATTTTTCCGGCACTGGGGGCAGTCCAATCAACGATCCAGATGGTGACCTCGACAACAACCCCCATGCTGATGACAATGGTCCTTTTTTTGCCCCCCTTGGCAACACACTGGGTATGTTGGATGGGGAGGACGTTGACATGGACAATGACAATGGGATGGAGCTTGACTCCTCCCGTCGTCATGTCATCAGCCTTCACAGTCCCCCCAGGTTGGTGGGACAGAAGCGGCCGTATGCGGCTTCCCCTTCTCCCTCTCCCGTGGAAAAAAACACCTTTCTTCTCCCGCGGAAGCCCCAGATGCCGACATACCACAGTCGTGAGGCGTTTGGCTCTGCCTCCCCTGGTGGCCAGGTGCCACATAAACCTTCCTCGCTTGCGTCGTCGTCAGGGATATCGCGCAGCCATTCCACTCCCTCGTCCACGGCATCTTCATCCTTCATATCGACCGACTATCATGTTTCACCAACGGCATCCCAGACATCGCTGTCTGCGAAGCCACGGAGCTTGGCCAGCTCAAAGAAGAAGCGAGCCTCTGCAGCGGACATGGAGGACAACCTCAACATGCTCAGCGAAGATATCCGGAGCATGCAGACCGACATCTCTGAGTGCCAGGAGTCGAGGAACAAGCGCTATGCCATCAAGATGAACTATCAAGCCCAGAAGAAGGATCTTCAGTAGCGCCATGAAAATCTTTCACACGAAGTCCTCATTTCGGCCACCATGCATCAACGTGAGCAGGAGGCCAAGGACAAGGAGATTCTGCGCCTTCAGGCTGCAGCTGCCCTGCAGGAAAGGGAGGCTGAGACCTGGCACCTTAAGATCCAATATGAGATGATGATCCGTGCCGCAGGTGCCAGTCCCTCATCCTCGTCACCATCAGTCTGAATATGTGTTGTGATTTTCGTGTTTTTTTTTCATTGTTGTCATGTTAATTTTAGCTGCTTGATTGTTTTTTTACATACATCTGTTGTTACATCTGTTGAATCTCTTGTAGTGATACATATACCTTATGGTTGCCAATATGATTCTGGTCCTTTCAAGCTACCCTTCCCTGTGTTCAGCTCTTGAGTGAGGACTGTCAAACAGTTGATCCATCATCCTCAAATGGGAAGCTTGCCCTGGAGTACCCTCATATGACCTATCACCCACAACTTCATCTCCATCAGGATCTTCCATCTCTTGAGCTGCAAATTCTCTGGCCTCCCTTTCAGCCCACCTCTGAGAACGAGGGAATTTCGCATTCTGCTGGCGATGGTGTGCTTCAAATCGAATGATCATGTTGTGCAAGATGATGCAACACATAATCCAATGGACAGCAATCTGAAGCTCTCTTTCTGTGTGAATATTGAGGCGAAGCTCTCGGAGGGATTGAAACCGCCTCTTAAGAGTGGCAAATGCGTGCTCAACACGCACACAAACCTAAATAAAAATAAAAATCAGTCACCAAACCATCACAAAAAATCACAAAAAATAGGAGCACACCGTGGAAAGATGATAATTAAATGTCTTCTGGTCCTTAGTCAACCTTCCATTACAGGGCTTCTTGAAAGGGACTATGCACCACTTCTCAAGTGGATATGCACTGTCAGCCCAAATCCAATGGTCATCTGGCAGAAGGGCTTCGTGCTGTTGATAGAGACGAGTTGATCGGAAAGCATAGGCATCGTGGATGCTTCCGGGATGACCAAGAGCATAATCAACAATGATAAGGGTATGAGGCATAACAGCTGCCTAAAAATATTTAATTGTTGACCATGAGGGGAGGGGAAAAAAATACCTGACAGCCAAGGGAATAGTTAGATTTCCTGTCATAGAATGTCTCACCAAAATGAGCAGGTTTGGCGTAGAGATTAATTGTGGTGCCATCAACAGCTAGAATGCCATTGCGCCACTCAGGACAAGTCTTGGACTCTGCATATTGCTGAGCAAGCTCAGCATCCTCTGAATCAGGGTGTGGGAAACCAACAAAATTGTCATGCTGGTCAAGCAGTGCAATCATCACACGATTCGTGCAATTCACAACTGACCCAACACTTATACCTGCCCATTGGGCAACATCCTCAAGAGAAATCGCATTGCCATAGTGGCCAGCACGATTGAGGAAGATAGCAAGCTGGATGGAAATGGGAAGCTGGGGATTATTGGATTAGTTGAAAAATATTTGATGATCAGAGATTTGATCGAGGATATCGTCAAAAATGACAGGGTCAACACATAGCTTCTGGCGAAATAAATAAGGGCGGTGTTTCTCATAACAAGCATGTGCAGCTGGGAAGCTCGTAGGGGAGGTTCATCTGGCTTGTTAAGGACGCAAGCCCTTGTGACCTCATCACAGAGCACCGCAATTCGGTGCTGAAGATGCTTATAACGTGTAGCGATATCATCAGAGTCATTGGACTCATCAGAAAATTCACTAGTGGTGTTGGAGGAAAGGGTGGGTGAGGAGGTGATGTCCATGGTTGAATCAGAGTTGGAATCAGAGTTGGAATTGGAGCTGGAGTCAGAGTTTGACTCCTGAGCTTCCAACACCTGCTGATATTGGAGTTGGGCTGATGACAGTGCAGCTCTATCAACTGCACTAAGAAGATCTTGCCTGGTGGATGGGCAAGGCATGGTGAGAGCTCAAGATCGAGAGATGATTCCCTTATCATCCCCCCTAACTGATGTGTGATGATAAGCGGAGTTTCAATCAGAGTTTGAAATTTTACCACGGTCAGTGTGCTAAGTCTAGCTCATCTTGCATGACAGCGAGCAACCTACCATCCCCACTGTGCTGCCCATTGCCCTCAACAACTCCAGATATGAGGATGCCCCTCCCAGATCTTTCCCTGCTTCTTCATCATCCTATACCTCCTGATGGCGCTGCAGATTTCTCTGCGCTCATTCGTCCACATGGGGGAGCTAGTCCCTCTACGAATCTACCTGGTCCTCAGCTCCCTCCCCAAAACCATCAGCCACTTCCCCCGGACCCTCAGCTCCCTCTCTGGAGCCCACCTGACACTAGCGCTCAGTGCGCTCCTCCAAGCATTTGGCCCGGTCCCACGGGCGCTCAGCACGCCCCCCCAAGTACTCTGCATCCCCCCCCTCCTCATTTTTCCAGCACTGGGGGCAGTCCAATCAACGATCCAGATGGTGACCTCGACAACGACCCCCATGCCGATGACAATGGTCCTTTTTTTGCCCCCCTTGGCAACGCACTGGGTATGTTGGATGGGGGGGACGTTGACATGGACGATGACAACGGGATGGAGCTTGACTCCTCCCATCGTCGTGTCATCAGCCTTCACAGTCCCCCCAGGTTGGTGGGACAGAAGCGGCCATATGCGGCTTCCCCTTCTCCCCCTCCCGTGGAAAAAAACACCTTTCTTCTCCCGCGGAAGCCCCAGACACCAACATACCACAGTCATGAGGTGTTTGGCTCTGCTCCCTTCCCCTCTCCTTGTGACACTTGTTCACTCGCGCAATTGTGGGATGGGTCTAGGTGCTCATTCGTTGTTTGGAGGCTGACAGACTAATTACTTTGACATATCTACGTATATCTACATTCTCTATCATGCACGCTACCCCCAATATCTTCCATTATCTCTCAGAAATGCACAAGTATTGTTTTGAACTCCAATATGTGCTGGCCATCTATGGCCGAGTTTTTTCAAAGTTTACCGAGTCTTAGTTATGTTTTAGTGAGTTTAAAAAATCTACTCTGAGTCCCACTATTGAATGGAAACACAAAAACTTAACTTAGAGTTTGTCTGATGGAAAAGAGCAAAAAAAATTAAAACTGCACAACCATTTCAATGTCTCCAGTGTTTGTCTGACAGAAAAATCAGAACAACATTGTGACCATCAGTCACAATAAATATAAAATGTTTTCAACCGAAAAATAAGAAACAAATTGGGAACAGAATATTTCAATGTATTTAAAATTTGTACATCTGAAACAAGTTGAAACCATTGAAATGGACAAACATACGTCCTCCACTGCCAATAGTCAATCACAACTCAACAGTTACAAATTGCTTTGCAGCAATTTCCAGTTGCCATTTAATTGCTATTTACCACTCAACATGTGCCACTTGCCACGTGTTTGCTAATCATCACATCAGCAAATCCCCGGGTTTCTTTTCGTCCCTTAGATTACTTAAAAATATTACCAAGGCGTCTAAGGCGAATAGGTCACTATTTTCATACTTAGTTCAATTTATTCTAAGGACCGATGTAATTACAAGTGTGCCTAAGGTAATCTAAGGCGAGATACTTAGAACAAGGCAGTGAAGGCACACAAGTGAGATCAAGGCTGCTGCATCACTAAATGCATATGTTTTAAAAATCAATACAACTTATTTACATCTATTTACCAACTAATTAGCTTGTTCCAAATAGTCGAAAAAATAAGTGCACAACGAACAAGCAGTTTCAAAACGCAAAAGTTCGAAGGAAAAAAACAAACAGTAAGTTTTACTGTCACTATCCCGTCAATCATTGATCAACGAGACAATAGTATGTTACTGTTACAAGTAACATCAGTCACGTGGCCCCCCTATCATTTTCCCTTCATCCTCGCCCTCACCATCTACCGGCTCGTCCTCCTTTACCGACTTTCCGTTGACCAGATCCTCGGGACCGTTCCCGTCCCTCGCATCATCCGCCTCTATGCACGTGTACGCACGTTCCTCTCTTGATTCGACCACCAATGTGGTCCCGCACCTCTGACTCGGTCTGACTCGTGCCACCAACGTGGCTTTCTTCTTTCTGTTTCTCTTGACTGCGGATTCCCGCACGTTGTATTCGTACCGTTGGTCCGTTCCAACGTTTCTCGGTCTCATTCCCATTTCGACCATCCATCACTAATCTGGCTGTGTTGCCAACGCACCTATACCATTCTCGTATCCCCCTTACCCTTACCTACTGTGCGGTAGCCTTGCCCTTAACCCTCTCCACTTAGTATAAGTAGTCGGTCACTCTGTACTAGATTCTCTAACTTGAATCTACTCAATCTTCCCTGGAACATACTTCCCTCTGAAGCCCCCTCAGCTTCAGTCTCTAGTATCTTTTCTTAGCCGCTCTTCGCGACTAAGTCTACCTCGATCGACCTCATCGTCCGGACAAGACAGTCCTGACCTTGAGTGACTTCTTAGACATCCGTCTACCAAGTCACGTGACACGCGCGTACTGTGATCGCTGCCGACTCGTCGTCGCCAGTCTCACTTGCTATACCGGATCCTTCCGGTTACGTCACGAACGTTAGCGGACGACGCCCCTCTTAGGGCTCCGCCTAACAGATCTATTTGAGTGCGTAACAGTTACATGGCTTCAAAATTGGCTTATTGCAGACAAGGAAGGTCTCAGAGGAGACATCAGTGGTCGGATGTAGCGTTTCGCGTGGAGGAGGCGATCAGGGCAGAGGCGATGGCAGAAGAGGCGGAGGCAATAGTGGAAGGCATGGGAACCTCGCTTGGTTGCTGGGAGAGGTGGTTTTGGTGCAGGAAGGGGCACAACATGTCGCTCAAGTGTACTGCAGATGCTGGTGAGTGCTAGGGCATCTTATTTTTGACAAGAACTCACCGATCGTCTTGGTAGCCTTGTACCAGTATAACCTCCATGTTTCCCCGCCCAAATTCAAGTTCCTTTTTGCATGAAGTAATGTGTTACGACATCAAGCACGGTCCACCATCAGCTAGTGAGATCAAGGCCACTGTACACAGTCCTATAATACCTACTTGAGGTGGCACAGGTGGGTGGTGAGACATCTTTAGATCTAAAGTTCTCGATAGTGAGTTCAAGGCCACTGTACATGGTCCTATAATACCTACCTGACGTGGTGCAGGTGGGTGGTAGACCGTCTCTAGAAAGTTCTCGACAGTGAGTCAAAGTCATTGTACGAGTCATGCGGATTAGTTCCACGAGCAATAAAATTTGCCCTGTATACTGGAATGAGGTGGGCAGCATGAAAGATGCAATCAATATGGATAATTGAAATATCTGGAGTACCATTGTCAGTTGTTGCAGGTGTGACAATATGCATGCCCGTGTCCAGATCACATCTTTCAAGTATGTGAGAGTACCAATGGACAACGGCACAAGGAAAATATGATGTTCGATACTTGAATGAGAAAAAGCTAGGACCCACACAACCACAAGCCCGCCCATGGGAGAGTCCATGTCAGCATCCAAATTAACGAAAATGCAATCATGCCTAGCTGCACCACCCCGCCATGATGGTGTTGACCGGATATGCTCACGGCGCATGCCTCCAGTATCGCTCAGATCACTAGGCGCATAGAATATTGCAGCAGCAGAGTTAAAAAGTGTCACTTTCCCCAAGAATATCGGGGCTGTTGCAGGATTGAAAGGAGCAGGGTTGGGGTCCATCAAATGGAGTTGGTTGTGGAGGAATTCTTGAATCATGGCAGGGAAATGCCGAAGGTTGAGTTGAAGGCCAAGTGTATTGACATCCAGGACACAACCTAAGTATCATGAAGAAGGGTTGAGGAGCATATGAATTGACTTATGGGTTGTCACTCCAAGTTCAACATGGGATTCCACAGTTCCATCGAGAACTTCAACGTCATCTCCCTAAATGGATTGACTTTGAGGTTCATGAACTTGCAGGTGCCCAGGGAGATCTGTGTCAACTATTGTGTCATCATCCGAGTCGCTATCTTCATGATTATTGTGACCTGTTGTGGGATGAGAAGTGCTAAATATTATTTCAAATGATCATGCATGTTTTTGAAGTTCTCGCAAAGCTTTGGAGAGGTAAGAGCCATGAAGCATGCCACGTGCCTCAAAATCTGCATGGGCAGCTGCAATTTTGTCGAGGCACTGGTTTGTTAGCAGCATTTGACCAACTGCCTTGAACCTGCTAGAGCGGTGCCAGGGTTCTTTTACTGCTTTAATATGTTTAGACTCCGTTATGGAGGAGCAAAGGCCATTGGGTGCCCCGAAAAGTCGGATCATCAAGATGTAGTGACACATAGAATGCTGGCAGGGAAGAGAAAATGACTTTGTCGCACCGCTTGTCTTGAAGATCTCCCGGTATTGATGGAAACGGTCCAGGGCTTCTTGGACTTGTAGAAAATCATCTTCAGTGAGAGCCTCATGCCGTACAAGATAACAAAAATCGAGGCACACACTAAACGCACATGTTATGTCTTCAGGAACGTGATCTTTGATTGCAGGTATATAGACCTAAATATTTCATGAGTTGACTTGCACAGGCTTCAAATGAAATTACTGCAGTGTACCTTCATTAATGCCTTAGAGTCATTGCCAGTCCACTGCTTGAATCCGTGCCCATCTGGAAAGCATCATAACCCAGTAAATGGGGCTACTGCTGCTATCCTTTAGTGTCGTCAGTAGTCATCGTTGAACATTCGATAGTTTACATACCTGCGATCAATATCATCCATAATTTCGGCTGCATGGTGAGCACCATGTGTGATTGTCAAGTACTCTTCCACCCAATCAACTAAGTGGTCTTTGAAAGTTCCCTCGATGATTTGGTGCAAAAGATCGGGGGAGAGAAGCTCATGGATATCCGCATGAGGAAAATCATTGGTGAATGGCTAGCAGAGAGAATTTATATAAGGCCTAGTAAGTTTACACAGTATGCAACTTACAATGAGATCGCCAATGATGCCATACTTGAACCACAGCTGTTTACACGTCAGTTGGTCAACAAGTAATTCTGTGTGTTCTTCACGCCGATGCAGACAAGGCTGACCACTGTCAAGATCTTTGGGATCTGCCAGACACCTATAAAGCGTGTACTAAGAAAAAATATAAATAAAACAAATTTTGTCATACTGTGGACACCATCGCTGCATGACACCAGATAGCATTACCTGCTCTGGGTAATCAGCAATGTATGGGCCAATGCCATATATCGTTCGTCAAAAGTGGCCATCCGGAAAGCGCGTGATATCAGGAGTTTCCATGAACATTTTCACAGATTCAAAAAAAATTGCCAGGGACCGCTGGAAGAGTTGTTGCCAGAAGTTTCTGTAATGACTGCACCCATTATGTTCTCTTGTGCCTAAACAAACAACATGAGTTTACAATACGAGATATTGACGTGTGGGTACTCACTTTTTGGTATAGCAAGAAACCCAACAAGTACAACACCATTGCGATGTGCACGTCGCACACTATTGAAAATATTACCAATTGATAGGTAAAGTGGGTGATACTCCGTATGTCCAGTAGCAACCAAGATGATTATCTTGTCACTTCCCATGATCAGTGGCACAAATGTTGAACCATGGGTCTCCAGATTTTGAGCAATAAGATCCTTAATATGATTGTCAGCATGCTATGATTATGACTTGAAAAAAACATACTGCTTGCTTCCATGCCCAATCACCTGACATAAGGTTCTTCCAGTACCGTTTGTTGTCAGTGGTGTAGTCACAGTAGGGCGAAAATTCGATTTCCCCATCAAAGTCAGGATTTGTTGTAGTTTGATGCCATTGTAGCACATCATGGAGCTCTTCCAGGGGACATCACCTAGTGGGGTCGCATCAATGGCTGCATACATGTCCTTGTGGTTTGCGAAGGGAGGAGCATCATTGTGCCTGATGAGGGTTGCAGCCCATAAGTCGAGGAGCGTGTCAATTTGCTTTGTGGACATTTGGTTCTGCGTGAAGAGGAATTCTGCTGTCTTGAATTCAACTCTGTTTTGATAAGGTGTCCAGTCGGTTGGTGGGGCATCCATATGCGGCAAGGGAGGCGTATCTTGCTCAATAAATGCACCATCAGCGTCACATTTAAGCCCTGAGTTGTGATAAAAACCATTCAAGTAGATAGCAAGAAAGGACTCGATAAAAGACACCTACCTGTGAGATGTGGATGGAACACACAGAACAAGTGTCCCATGTCCACCCAAGTACCTTCTTTGGGTACGAATCCTGGATTCTCCTGCTCATCCTCTGCACCATGATGAAAATGATCATCATTTTCCCTTGCTGGAGTTGGAGATCGTGCCCTTGGAGATATGAAGCCAGGACCTAGGACAGTTCGGTTGATCTGTGGGAGTACCAAATGCTTCGTGTGATTGTGCTTTGTCAGACCAGACTTGTTTTTGAATATATGGTTGCAGCCTGGAGCCTGACAAACAAGCCTGATCGTCCCTGGGGCCATGTTGGGCAGTGGATAAGGTGGCAGCAAAGTACTGGGGAGTGATGCAGAGTTTGAGCTGCATTAAGTGTATAAATTGTACACTATTACATGTTCAAATAAAAAGCCTCACTGTTTTCATCTCTTTCTCTACCACCCCACATTCGATATCCACCTACTGTCAACGTGCAAATCGAGTACAACATCCCAGGGAAGTGGTTGCGGCTGAAAAAAGTCAGAAAGCAGCAGTGAAAGTAGCTAAGGCTGCCACATTGGACAGTACTCACAAGCAGATTGCTGCTAAGGAGGATGCCATGGCTGTTGAGCAGAGTGCCCAGCTTGCTGGCCTTGGACCACTCATTAGACCAAAGCCTCACCCACTATTGAAGAAGACTAAACCCTTAGTGTCGTCCCTGGACTCGGAAAATGCAGCGATGACTATGCCGGGCCCTAAAACATGTAAGCAAGCGATACACGGTGATCCAAAATACTATTGCAAGGACTTACCATTCAAATTTGACTGATATAGCTGGCAGTGCAAACACAACTCAAAATGCTGTGAACACGGGGAAGAACAAGTATCAAGATTTAAAGATCACCTTTAAGGACGGCGTCAAAGCAAATCAAAAGGTTTCTAACACCAGTGTATCCACTTTAAGTCAGACGTGTGTGGGAAGCACTGATGGGAAAATCAAAAGAACATTGTAGGTTCCTATTTCGAACAACGATGCTGCTTCTATCAGAACTCACCTTGTATTATTTTGATATTATTTGTTCGCTGACCCATAGCACATCCGAGTCTTCCACACCATGTTCAGAGGAAGTGGGAGTAAGGAAGTGGGTGAAAAATGTGGTGTCCAAGTCCCAACTGCAGCCCTCTGTGCCATCAAGTACACAAAGTGCTCAGGGTATGAATTAACTTGTGTTTCTGAGTGAGGCTAATAGTATTGTCAGCGGTCTCGAACAACAACTCGGAGTGGACAGAAGATGTTGATGCACCTGAGACATTTGACGAGCAAATGGTTAGAAATCGGGCTGGGAAAGTGAGTGAAATCACACCTTCATGGGTAGTATACTAGAATGAAGGCAGGACATTGTGCATATGTTTCAGACTGCCAAAGATGCATCCAGGGGAAAGAAGTGTGCCTTTTCTGACTCGTTGGAGGAAGAAGAAGAATGCAAAGTCCAAGATGATCCAGATGCTGATGAAGGCCCTAATGTCGATGATCCAGTAGACGACATGGATGATGATGTCAAGATGGTAGATCAGCAGCTGCCTGAGGTTGGTACCAAGGTAAGGATCAGATAATGCAACTAGTGAATCACTTACCACAAATCTACTAGGCCAACAAAGCAGTGAAAACTCGGCTCACAACCTCTGTATGCAGAATTTTCAATTTACTGACATAGTGCGAGAGAGCTGACAAATTCCTTCGACAGATGTCAGTTGATATTGTTAAGTCAGATGACTCGAAGCCTGTCAAAACCGAAAGTGCAGCCAACCAACGAAAGACGATCAGCCTCAAGAAAGAAAAACCCAAGAACGCTCACTTACGCAGCCATGCTCAGAACGGAAAATGGTGTTCTAAATTCCTTCCAGCAGTAATGTACTGGGTCGGAAACTCTAACTATCCTTGGACCATCCCCAATGAAAAACTTTCGGACGTCTGCTATAATATTTTCAGTGTAGTGTACAACGGTGTACCCGGAGAATTTGAGGCCGACAGCTGGAGTGGTGGGTTTCACGTGGTGAGTAAAATATTATTTCGTATTCAAGTCAGTAAACTACATTTCAGCAGGTTTGTCAAAGGATTTCAGAGTGGAGGGGAGTCTTGGCTCCACTGCTGTCAGTGTCCTGGTGATGTTTTTTACTTCAAATGACGACTTCCAGGCTCCCAAGGCACGAAAGAAATATGCTGAATATCAGCTCGAGGACTCGTGCTTTGTGTATGAAGACCCAGACAACGAGGACTCACCTGGAGCCTTTCTGTCTGAATTCATCTTGCATGTTTTTGCTGCCCACCTTGATGCTATCCAAGGATATGAGAAAATTGACATAATTGATTGTGGCTTACCTGGACACCAAGCCGCGCTTGCACTGGCAACTGCAGCTGTAAGTTTTCTCAATCTGACATTGATATCCTACTACAGAACTCATATGTCCACCTCCCTACCTTCAGTCTCATCTATTTGCACAGCTGCCACTCGCACTATTATGCATTTTTCGACGTTTTTTGGACCTGCTGCCTTAATATCATCTGCTCCTTTTTGTCCTTTGACTCATCGACCTCCTTATTTCCCCTTAGCCTACTTTTTTGTATCTCACTCCATGTCTCAAATAATAGTGCCTTTTTTGATCTAACCGCCTTGAGAATCATGACCTCCTTATTTTAAGTGTGAACGAGTTTCTTGAAATTGTCTTATTATGCAAATTAAGGCATATAAGGAAACATTAAGGGACAAAAAGGAACCTGGGGATTTGCTGATGCATTGGCCATTTGCCAATCACCAGTTGCCAATCAATGGTAGTTCACATATAAATTGATGTCCTAGTGCACCTCTGTGCATGCTGGTATTTTATGGACATTTGTTTTTACACATGTATGCAGGTTTGAAACATTTGGAATCAGGTGCATTAGTTAAGGACTATGAAGGACCTGAAAAAGAACTCAAACAAGCTGTGGAATGATCATTTTCTTCCTAGGCAAACATGAGTGATTGTCCATGGCCATTCAGGAGTGGCAATTGGCAAATGGCAAATGGCAACTGGTGATTGGCAAATGGTGAATGACAAATGATAATTGATAATTGGCAATTGGCCAATGATGATTGGTGATTGGTGACTGGTGACTGGTCAATGAAAATGGCAAATCGATAATGGATTAATGGCAAATGGCCAATGATGATTAGCAAACACGTGGCAAGTGGCACATGTTGAGTGGTAAATAGCAATTAAATGGCAACTGGAAATTGCTGCAAAGCAATTTGTAACTGCTGAATTGTGATTGACTATTGGCAGTGGAGGACATAAGTTTGCCCATTTCAATGTTTCAACTTTTTTCAGATGTACAAATTTTGAATACATTGAAATATTCTATTCTATTCTATTCTATTCCACATTATTTAGGCCTACAGATAGTCACCCATTTTGGGTGTCACAAAACCATGAGAATGATATTTTTATATACTGAATATAAGTTCAATTTTTCAACACAAAAAATGGATGATTTCCTGCAGGCAAAAGTAATGCAGAATAGATTATCATTTCACATTTCAGGAAGGTTGCCACAATGCTGGGTGTCATTTCATCACCATTTGAAAGTCAGCCAGGGTTCGCCCTCCCCCCTACAGATTATTCTAAATCAAATAAACTCATACTTTGCCTTTTTAGGACCACATGCCAGATATCTGCTGATATAATCTTACTGTGCAGTATGTGCACGGGTTCTGTCGTCCAATGCTGTTTGATACTACTGTCCCTGCCCTTCATGGATCCCTCGCATACTTTTATATACTTACCTTGTTTTTATAGGTATTAGTTTGGATGCTTGGTGGTGAGCCAAATCTCTAATCTCTGAGCCTGACACTAGCGGTCACCAAGGGACAGTGGTGCCTCCTTCTAGTGCTGCCATGGTCTGGTTTGGAGGGTCCTAGACAAGAACCAAGAACCGGACCATCGGTTCAGTTCTACAAAATGTCTGAACCCAGAACCGGACCATAGAGAACCATTCTCTACGGTCCAGTTCGGTTTTTTTGGGGTCCAAACCTGAACTGAACCAAAAAAAAAACTGTAAGAGCATGCAAAAAAACATTGACAATATACTAAGTAGTCTACATGTTGAGTAACTAATCTATTAACATAGCTGCTCTCCCCCAATTACCATGTGCAAGAGGTATCAGAAGAGCGATTGTGATAACGAGGAGTTGACACAACCAGAAATAGGAAAGCAGCAGCCAAGGATGGCAATCATGAGCATGGGTCAATGATGGTGGTGAGCAGCAGCATGAGATGGTGGCAAGCGCGGGTACCATATACAGGTAATAAATTTATTAGACACTGAAACAATAAAACACCATGACGCACCTTTGCAGCTGAGAGAACTCCCCATCTAGAGTCGAGTCTACATGTGCTGCGTGTGGGCAAGAACAAGAGTGTGCCTCCAGGTCTGTCCTTTCCCGTCTGTTTTTTCCACTTGTCTCTAACTCTTCTTGTCCCCGATGTCAGAATTAGCAGTAAGTTGTGAGTCATCAGCCTGTATAAGGCCGATGCAGTACTGTGAGTTGTGCTGCCCAGATGGCTTGCTGGTGAGGTCAAGTGGGTGGATGGGTAGCTCAAGTTGGCTGTTGAGAGTAATGGTCATCTTGAGTGGTGTCGTACAAGGGACATCGTCTAACAGACAGTCAGCTTGGCAATTACAAACTGAGGTGAATAAAATACAAGAGATAAGCAATGGTAAAAATAGTGCCACTTGTCATTGAGGAGGTCAGATCGTAGAGGTGGCTATCTGTAGATGAACACAATGCAGTGGAGCAGTGGGAAACGACTTGGATCAGCATGGCCCAAGCTCGAACAAGGATTGACACTCACCAACTGTGAATGGTGGGCAATGATTTGGATCAGCATGGTTCGAAAATCCTGTGATAGTTAAAAAAAATGAGAGTTTGAATGATTGGTACTTACCTTTAAAAAGGCTAAAGGTAGCCTAATTAACCAATAGTGCAAATCCCAAAGACAACAGTTTGATGTGGAGACCGAAGTTGTCACAGTCGAAGTCGAAGTCGATAATGGTTCAGAATGGTTCGGCCTTGCCGAACCAGAACGGGACAATGGTGGAAGACCTAGAACCGAGAACCATTTTCCAGTCCGGTTCTGGCTGGTGTGAGAACCGTGGACCGAACTGCGGAGAACTGGACCAAAAGTCTGGTTCGAACCATGGTTCTGGACTGGACCGCAGCAGCACTACCTCCTTCAGTTTCAACATCAACATATGATGGACAACTGGTGTCCAATATGAAGGCCCCCTCAAGAAAATTGCATTCTCCAACCCTGCAATTCCAGAACAACAATAGCATCAATTCTACTGAAGGCCCCTTGAAGGTGTGCATGATGTGCCACCACAAGGGCACTGCATTCTTCAAACTCGTCTCCTTGCAACCAACAGATCTTGGCATCAGTAATTTTGCACTAAGTGAGGAGGAGTATGTGCAGGCCAAACAAAAGGTACTATGAAACTGCTGTTGGGACAAGTACAAAAATTTGTTGCAGACTAATTTGATACATTGTAGAGTTCAGGTAGTGCAATACAAGGCCAAGGGCACCTTCAGCATCAAGAGATCAATGGCCAACACAAGGATCAGCATACTGATTGATGTCATCGCAAGGAATGGGTGTATGATACCAATGTTTTGCAAAGCCAGAGGTGAGTATGAAGGTGAATGTTTCCACATCAAAGCCCATGGTTGTAATGAAGGCTCAATCATTCTGACTTGCAAATAATGCTTGTTAGGATCTAGAATAGAACACGCTCAGAGGTTGAAGACAACGACTATAATCATTCTTAGTACCTAGAATAGAACACGCTGCGTAGAGTACAAAGTAAGAGGAAGTTGGCGAGACAAATAACAGAGCACATACCTCAGAGGTTGAAGACAATGACTGAGGTATGAGCGAAGCGGGGAGAACATGTTTTAAGTGACGAAACAAATCACGTGCATATTAGGTAATGCGGGGAGAAGGTATTCTAGGTAAGAGGCAAAAGGAGAAAGATGACGAAGTTGAAATGCTAACACACCCCCTTCAACGAGACATCTTCAACGTAACGCAAGTGAGAGTCCAGCTTGATGACGTAGGAACAGAGGTCGAGGGAGACACTTTGTGAAGACGTCAGCCGTGTTTTGGTGCGTCGATAGCCATTCTGGTAGGAACGTTCCTTGTTCGATATGATGACGGATGAAATGATAACGTAGGTCGATGTGCTTCGTGCGAATATGATTGGCAGCCTCCTTTGAGAGCACAATTGCACCAGCATTGTCAGCGAAGAGACAAATGGGGAGGGGTAGAGGGACCTTTAGGCAGGCGAAAAACGACTGCAACCAAAGGCTGTCCTGGATTGCGGCCACCAATGCCATATACTCAGCCTCGCATGACGACAGTGCATGAGTAAGTTGTTTCTTTGACGAGTGAGACACCGGGCCGCCGTTATAGAACCAGACGTAGCCTGTTATTGATATGTGATCCTCCGGACTACTTGCCCAATCTGAGTCGCTATACCTGTGCAGATCCGCGTTGATGTTCGCACCCCCGTAATGGATGCGGAAGTTCAAGGTGCCAGCGAGAAAGCAAAGAATGTGTTTGGCTGCTGCATAGTGGCACGACGCGGGGGAGGCGTTATACTGCGCTAGGCGCATCACGGCCACTGCAATGTCCGGTCTAGTGTAGAGTGCCAAGTAGAGCAGCTCACTGATGAGCTTGCGATACTCTGCATGGAGGTCTTCAACGAAGGGATAGACATCAATCTCGCGGCCGAAAGGGAACTTAGGGTCCATGGGAAGGTTGATGGGATGGCAGTCGAGCATGCCGTGTTCTTCGAGGAGGTAAGAGATGTACTCGGACTGATGCATCCAGAGCTCCTGCGACGACCGAGAATGTTCGAATTGGACCCCAAGGTGCTTGGTCACAGGTCCCAGGTTGGCTAAACCGAAACGTTCCGCTATCTGCATCTTGACCCATGTCAAGAAGACCCTACCATTGGCAGCTGCAAGTCCATCATCGACATGCCAGGCGATAATGCACACGGTGCATACGCCATTGGCATCTGTGCGATCGTAGATGAAGACCGCATAATCCGCATCACAGCGTAGGAACCCGAGACAAGTCAGAACCTCACGCAGAAGCTCGTACCAATCATATGCAGCTTGCTTGAGGCTGTACAAGGAGGAGAGCAGGTGACACATGAGACGTGCTCTGTCGACGCCGACGCGCTCAAAACCAGGTGGTTGGCGCATATAGACATCTTCCTGCAGCTTACCCCAGAGAAAGGCACGCTTCGCATCAAAGGCGTCCAGTTCCCAGTCGAGTTGCGCTGCCATGGCTGAGGGAATGTGAATGGAGGCTGTTTTGGCAACGGGCGTGAATGTCTTCCCAAAATCTACCCCAGGCACCTGTGAGAACCCTTGCGTGACCAGGCGAGCTTTGAAAATGGGGCCACCCTTCAAGTCTGACTTGAATTTGAGGACCCAGCGACATCCGATCACTGTGTGCTTGTCAGGTAGGGGTACTAATTCGTACACATTCATCTCAGACATGAGATTCATCTCCTTCCTCATAGCTGCGACCCAGTGATCACTATCAGGCCGTCGTACAGCTTCGTCGTAGTTGTGCGGGGGGACTTTAAGGTCATAGCCTGGCGTGAGGGGATTACGTCTGGTGTCGCTGCGGATCGCAACGCATGCTTGCTCGACCACGATCAAGTTCGCTAACGCAATGGTGAAGCCCACCATAAGTGTCTCCAGCTTTATAGCATCCTCATCCTCAACAGCAAAGGCGGTGCTTGGGCCGGGCGCATCAGGCGCAGGTAGGTCAGCTGCCTCTGGGACAAGCATTGTCGGACTGGAGACAATCGGGGCTGGACTCACTACAGCGCCCTCCGGCGCATCAGGCAGCAGGATGCCTCTGATGCGGGCAGTCCGAAGTTCACACTGGCGAGCAAGCCATGCTCAATCAGCCGCGAGAGAGTCCTGATACACCATACCTTTGGCAGTGGCCATGCGCTCACGTCCCGACTTACGAGGTGGAGGAGCAGGAGCTGGGGGTGGAACTATAGCAGGGGCGGGAGGGGATGGTGGCGGAGCAGCAGAAGGACAAGGAGGAGCCGAGTCATCATCGTTGGAATCGTCCGAGTCAGAGAACACGTGGCCTTCGAAATTCTCATCGAAGATGACGTCCCTGCTGTTGAAGAAGGCACCTGTTGCGGAGTCTCGTAGTCGCCATGCCTTCACACCAGGTGGGTATCCCATAAAGGTGGCCACGTGAGAGTGTGGCCTGAGTTTCTCTTGGAGCTCGGCGGGGATGCGCGCGAAGTAGCGGGAGCCAAAGATGCGAAGGTGAGAGACGTCCGGCTTCTGATGGTGAAGCATCTCGTATGGTGTTACTCCGGGGGCAAGTGCCTGTGATTTGCTGCGATTAAAGAGATACGCAAGGCAGAGTGCTGCTTCGCCCCATAGCGACAGTGGCAAGCGGGCGTGATCAAGCATGGCATACATGCGTCCCTCGATCGTGCGGATGACTCGTTCTGCCTTGCCATTCTGCTGGTGTGAGTAGGGAGCTGACAACTGACGCTCTATGCCCGCAGACTCGAGAGACAACATAAACACCTCATTAAGGAACTCCCCCCCATTGTCAGACCGAAAAACCTTCACCTGCCGATTGGACATGTTCTCCCATTTGGCCCAAACAACTGTCCAAGCTTCCAGCGCTTGGTCCTTGGACGCTAGCAGCTGGAGATTGAGGACGTGCATATGGTCGTCGAGGAATACTATGAAGTACTTCTTGCCGTGGGGAGTCGTGGTAGGTATGGGCCCGCAGAGGTCTGAGTGGATGAGTTTGAGGAAGTGGGAGGCTGGTGGCGACTCGGACGAGGGATATGGTTGACATGGGTGCTTTCCCATGATGCACGACTCACACTTTGACAGCGGCGCTTTCGACTCGATGGAGGCACCAGTGGCGAATAGCGGGAGATGACGGACTGCATCTCCTCCAAGGTGACCCATGCGCGCATGCCATAGGTCGAGAGACAAGGGCACTTTCACGAATGCGGTGAATTCCGAGACTGAAGGCGAGTTCGGCTCTGATGTGACGGGTGGTGGTAGGAACTCAAGGTCCACGAAACACAGTTTATTCACCAGTGGCAGGGATCCCAAAGGTGTTCCCCGATAGCCGAGCTCACACCTTGGAGGCGCACCACAAAAGTTACACTCCCAACTGCGATCTACCATGTATCCGATGGACAAAAGGTTCATCATCGCATCTGGTGCGTGAAGACAGTTCGTCAGTCGCACACAATATTGCTTCCCGTCAATCTTCAGGGCCACAACACAGTCCCCTCGACCAGAAGTGGTCAGACTTCCGTGGTTGGCAGTGCGTACGACAACCGGGTCAGCAGTGGAATAAGTCCAGAAGGAGGAGTGATTGTGGACAAGTGTCGAGGTGGTCCCAGAGTCAAGGATGGTGGTGAATGCATTGGCAATGAAGGCTGCAAGGTGAGGTGCATCATCTAGTTCCACAATGGAGGCGCACGATAGGTCAGCCAGGAAGGTATCTGCTGCAGCAGATGATCCGGCGAATGCCATGATCGACGAGGAGGTGTTTGGCGCCATGACGAGTGCAGCAACAGCAGGAGGAGTTGGAGTAGACACAGGTGCGACAGCGCATGCTACAGTCTCCCTGGGTTTCTTACCCTTCTGCCAAGGCACCTGGCCTTCCATGCCCCCACCTTTCCCATAACAATGGGAATGATCGTGATCTCCCTTCACGCAACCGGGTGTCGTGCAGAACACACCCTCAGGATTGTGCTGGTGCTTGCATAAGCCCGTGATTGAGTTAGTGTTCCCTCCCCCAGATGTGGTCACAGTATTCGCATACTCACTCCCAGGCTTCCCCGACAGAGATCTATCGTCAACTTGACGAGATGCTTCTGCGGAGATGCGCGCGACACAGTTCTCGTACGTGAGAGGAGTGCCGGCAGTGAAAGTGTCCTGAAGGCGCTGCTCAAGCATAGCCCTGAATTGGAGCCAACTGCCTGAATGTGGCAGCCCGCGGAGGAGCTGAAAGATGCTGTCCTCGTCGGGATAGGAGGCACCCATGTTCAACAGGCAAGTGCCAAGTGCCAAGTGACGTCCGATAAAGTTGGCAGTGTCCGCTGAGTCCTTCATCTGTAGAGAAGAAAGAGTAGAACGGATGACATATTGGGAGCTAATGTCCGTGCGACCATAGTGATCAGCAAGTATCCTCCACACTGCGCGCGCAGAAACAGTATGGTCCTCACCCATGAACTGTGCGACTGAGGGAGAGAGGCAGTGGGTAATTAAACCTTTGGCCTTAAGATCCTCGACGAGCCAAGCACATATTGCTATGGTCTCGTTGATTGTGGGAGCGAGCGGGTCAGTGGGAACGGGTATGAAGGAGGGGATGCCTAAGATATCGCTGGGAACTACAGTTTCCACGATGTGACACCATAAGTCTTCAATGCCCAGAGAAGTGCGAACTTCGCATCTCCACGCAAAATAAGTATCAGAACCTGTGAGTTCCGGAATATGATTGAACTTCCCCATAATGGAGGAGAGCACGGATACAGAGATTGAGTCGCTGAGACCTGAGTGACTTCGCGTTCAAGTTGAGGTTCTGCTTCAGAAAGCAGGGCTCATAACCTGTTAGGATCTAGAATAGAACACGCTCAGAGGTTGAAGACAACGAATATAATCATTCTTAGTACCTAGAATAGAACATGCTGCGTAGAGTACAAAGTAAGAGGAAGTTGGCGAGACAAATAACAGAGCACATACCTCAGAGGTTGAAGACAATGACTGAGGTATGAGTGAAGCAGGGAGAACATGTTTTAAGTGACGAAACAAATCACGTGCGTATTAGGTAATGCGGGGAGAAGGTATTCTAGGTAAGAGGCAAAAGGAGAAAGATGACGAAGTTGAAATGCTAACAATGCTTGCCATGGGGTGCTCATCATGGATTTGGAATGAGCTGTGCATGACAAAGGTATAGTCATCTTGATTGGTGTCTGTCAATGCATTCTTGTTGAGTCAGCTCAGTTCCCACCAGTACAGCAGCTGTGACAATTAGTGCTGATTCTTCTTTGTCATTTACTTCCATCTCTGAGTCCATCTCATTTTGCAGTGCTTGATACTGATATAAGATATTATCCTTGATATTTCATTGACCTACAGCTTAGTTTTTCATACAGATTATCTTTTTGTGTGATTTGGAAATTGTTTTTCAAAGTCCAGTATATGATAGTCTGCATTATTTTGCCTGCAGAATAAGACAATGGTTATGCAAAAGAGAAATAAGGGGCAATTGCTGATACAGTAGATATGCTCATAATGCATACTGTCAAGACCGTCAATAGTTATGCATTATGAGAGATATGCAACACCACATACGTCACATTTCTGTGACACATGTGACCTCCGCCAAAAGTGTGACATCAAGTATCTGCTGATTATACCGAGAAAAATTGTCCTAGAGAGGTCTGTCTAGCATTAAGTAGTTCTCCTCGTTGTAGTTGAGCACTGTTAAGAACGTGCTCAAGGGTTGGATCCAAAGGGCTTGGCTTCAGCTCGTGCGCTGCACCCCTTACCCAAGTATGTGCCCCTAACTTCCGAGGGCTGTTGGACGATGTTACACACTCAAATAGATCTGTTATGCGGAGCCCTAAGAGGGGCGTTGTCCGCTAACGGTCGTTGACGTAACCGGAAGGATCCGGTATGGCGAGTGAGACTGGCGATGACGAGTTGGCAGCAATCACAGACGCGCGTGTCACATGACTTCTGAGACGGATGTCTGTGAAGTCACCAGGCTCAAAGTAAGGACAGTCTTGTCTGAACGATGAGTGTTGATCGAGGTAGACTTAGTTGCGAAGAGCGGCTAAGAAAAGATACTAGAGACTGAAGCCTAGAGGCGTTCAGAGGGAAGTATGTTCCAGGGAAGATTGAGTAGATTCAAGTTAGAGAATCTAGTACAGGATGACCGACTACTTATACTAAGTGGAAAGGGTTAAGGGCAAGGCTACCGCACTGTAGGTAAGGGTAAAGGGGAAACAAGAATGGTATAGGTGTGTTGGCAACAGAGCCGGATTAGTGGTGGATGGTCGAATGTGGAATGAGACCGAGAAACGTTGGAACGATCCAACAGTAGGAATACAATGTGCGGGAAGCCGCAGTCAGAATAGACCAAGAAAGGAAAGCCACATTGGTGGCATGAGTCAGACCGAGTCATAGGTGCGGGACCACATTGGTGGTCGAGTAATAGGAGGAACATGCGTGCACGTGCATAGAGACGGGCAATGTGAGGGATGGGAATGGTCCCGAGGATCCGGTCAATGGAAAGTCAGTAAAGGAGGACGAGCCGGAAGATGGTGAGGGCGAGGATGAAGGGAAAATGATAGGGGGGCCACGTGACCGATGTTACTTGTAACAGACGATGTCCGAAGGTTGTCGGACGAGTCCGGAGTCCGATGTCCGATGCGCAGGAATTCCGGCGGACATTTGGGAACGAGGGATAAGACTAATCCGGATGATGTCCGAACTAGAAAGGAAACAGTGGAGGACTACCAGAGGTAGAGGCAGAGGTGAGAAGTCTATAGGAATCGATCCTAAGACTAGCGGAGGACAACGAGAGGAGAAACTCAAGTTGGACGGAGAAGGGAATGAGCAGAGTCTAAGATAATATTCGAACTGAGGAAGTACAAAGATTCTACAGGGTTTATATACTACTGAGGACTTAACGGAGAGTCAGTCTGCGCAGTCCGAAGCTATGCAAGGCTGTGGATGGAGCGTATAGAAAAGTCAAACACTAGTCTATCAGAAAATAGTAAATGAAGACGGAGATGAAGACATAGGAAAATAAAGGCAGAAATGAAATGAGGTACGGAAAATGAGTATAGTCTAACTGGAGAAGGAACGTACAAAGGGATAAGGCATGGAAGATAGATGCAGGTCGGATCCAGACGATAGATAGAAGTCGGCCAGATCCGGAAGTCCGGAAATGATGTGTGTGATAGGTCCGGGTCCGGAATGCGGGATATGACAAGCACGAAATATGCGAAGTTGTGATGATAAGTTGAGTGAAAACGGTGGATTACCATATTGCATGCATCCAACTTTGAGTTGCTGGCACAAATCAAGAAGATCTGTCCATGTGATTGATGCAGCCACTGAATCGTCGTTGTCATTGTCGTCATCAGAATCAGTCTCAATGACTTCACCGCTTGCGATGGTAACTTCACGATGGACCTCATCTGCAATGGCTTTGTCACCACCTTCGAATGCGGGAAACTCTCCCATATCTCTCTCCTCGGCAGGGTCCAGGAGCTCATCAAGAGTTGGCAATTGACCGAAAATACAATTGCGCGCCTTGAGATTGTTGACAGATTGCATAAGGTCAGCTTCAGCAGAGGAAAGTTGGTCATCCGCTTGCTGTGGACACACAGGAATACAAATTTTGAGCCCAGTGTGATGAGACACAGCTTCTGCAAGTGCATTTACAGCATTCAAGGCAATATCTGTGTCTCCTTTGGCATCCATGATGGCTTTAAGAGCTGGTCGCCAATCTGAATCTACATAGTGTTCACAAAGATGAGCCTTTAGGTCATTCTCAACTGCTGGAAGGGACATTTCAGTGGTCATGAACTTGCGGATGATATTCCATGCGGCAGGATTGACATGAGGCCTCGAGTCTAGGCCTACTGTTGGATCACTGCCATGAAAAATTGAGCACTGAAAATGAGAACATCAAATAATTGACTCACAGTTGGATTTCAGTGTGATTCCAGCAATGTTTGATGGTCTCAGATGTAATGGTGTACCATGCCTGCTTCACCATTGTCATACCTTCGAGAATGTTGAGTTTGTAAATGTCTCATTCGCCAGCATCATCAAGAACAATCGCACGCGCACAAAAATTACAGCGATATATTGCCTTGAAGCATTGAATGATTCCAGCATCACGTGGTTGCACAAATGGTGTCATATTGGGCCCAAAATACTCGAGATCGATGTTTGATGGTTGATACGAGATGCTGTGACCAGAGAAGTTATCAATAAACATGCAAATGTGCCGGTTTTGTCGCTCCATTTGAAGATTGAACTTATTAACCCATCTAGACAGTGCATTAGGTATCATTGACAGTCACAAGATCATGTTAACATACTCTTCAAATAGAACTGCTGTCATCCAAGCCTTCTTATTGTTTCGATAATAGAACCTGCACTGTTCTGGTGACTGCTTCTTGAAGCATCGTGGTTTCTTTGCCTTGCTGATAAAAATAGGCTTGAGCCTCTCACTCCCATCTGCATTGCAAGCTAACCCAATGGATATGCAAAATTTCTCCTTCTTCTTGCCATTCCTTTGTCATGTTGCGAGACCACGATCTGGAGGTGCGCTAAAAATGAATAAATTAAGCACTGCAAATGACAAAATGAAATGAACACACACTATGGAAAGAAGGATGTCTCGTCGAAGTTCCACCGATCTTGAGGAGCAAACTTTGCTAAGATCCTGCGACAATGTTCTCGTTCTGCAGCAACAGCTTCAGTGTCCACAGATCCAGATTCCCCATGCTGTCGGTACTCGCGGATCTTGTAGGTTTTGCAAAATGACTGAATCCATGCTTCCCCTAACAGCCTTTCATTGTCTGGGACATCAAACTCGTCCTCAAACCTTTTCCGTTTCTCTCGTAACATAGGCCCAGTCACCATTTCATGTTTGTTTTCCATGTGCCTGATCCACAGAATCAAGGCACGCTCGACATCAGGTCTGGTGACAACCCTTGGCCATTTTGATGACAATGCATTAGGGTTATCATTGACATGGGCTTCCATTTTGGACCTTTCCCTTAATTTGTGAGACAAAGTTGACTGTGTGAAAACGAGAGCACCAGATTTGAGAGATTTAAAGTGTTCTACAATTTGGGCTTGTGTGACATTAGGATGAGAGTTGATGAATGAATAGACCATCATCCAGTCTGAGAGAGTGAGATTTTGACGAGAAGAGCATTCAGGTGAAAGAGCCAAAGTTTGAGGAGTGTCCTGACTCCTTTGTGATGACTTTTCACTGTTTCGCAGGTCAGTTGTATGCTGTGGGCTTATCACGGGGTTTCCACTTCAAGTTTAGGGTACATTTTTGTGTATGATACTGTTGTAATTACTTGCTAGCTTCTATACATAGTTCAAAGAAACAATGCCGCACAAGCGGAACAATACATTTATGCAGTACCTTATGTCCCACCCTATTAATTTCACACTTCATAATGCATACAAGCCATGCCAAGGCCATGCAATATGCAATATGTAAACAATTACATAGGAACATCATCAGGATCCTGAAAAGTTCATGCATTATGAGATTTATGCATTGTTACAATATGCATTATGAGCATATCTACTGTATATATATATATATAATGTGGCATGCAAAACAGTAAGGCAGGCCAGCAGCAGTGGTGTGATAGAAGGAAAAATCACCTAAACCTGGCCCTGTAAGGTCTAGGAATATGTCCTCAACATCAAAGAGACCTTCAAGAGCATAAAATCGTACCCACCAAAGACAAGCAAAGTTTGTGCCGACTTCGTCGGCGCTTCCCGAGTCCCGTATTATAATTGACCACCAGAAGCAAATGGGGTTGAAGCAGTAGAATCAACCTCCATCTTTGAACTGACATTGGAGATTGCGATAGTAGACAAAGATCCAACCTCCAGTGCAAATTGTATTAATTGCTGCCTGGCGGTGAATTAGCTCTCCGTAGTCAAGACAGGATTTGGAACTCACTGCTTGTGCTGCTTCAGCATCTCGAGCATTGCAACTACACTGTCCTGCTCCTGCACTAAGAGGTCACCTCCTGCAAGTGTGCTTGCATAATCTTTCGCCTGAGTAAGTGCATGTTTGAAATCATTCGTCTACTAGGACGCTGATCAAACTACTCCATGATCTTGCCGTAGGAAAGGACATACCGCATGCAGCAGTGCTTGTTTGGCTACAGGAGTTGCAGTCCCTTCTGCTTTTTGGGTGAGCTCAAGCACCATAGCAAGCTTGGGTAACAATCCGTCGAAGAGTGCAGTTGGTAATGAAGTCCATTCCGGTGTACTTGCCATGTTCCAACATTCGAAGGACAGAGTCTGAGCGACGTTAATTAACCCAAATTGCTTATGTCATCCATCAATAGTACTGCGGCAAAGCTTGCCTTTCAGTCATTTCGTCACTCCATGTCATCGCAAAGCAATCTAGATGTGAGTGGCATTCGAGATCTTCTGGATCTGTGTATTTCTAACAGATCTTAAGAAAGCCATAGAGCTTGTCAAGGGTGCTATCGAGGATGATGAAAAGCAGAACTACCCTGAAGCGTACAAGCAGTACATGAATTCACTCGACTACTTCATGCTGGCTCAGAAGTGTATGTCCACTTCCACAAAATCTGCAGTCTGCACTCAGTATACATCCAAATGTAGACGAGAAGAATGAAAAGGCCAAGCTACTCGTCAGGGCAAAGATCGAGGAGTATCTTGCACGTGCAGAGACCTTGAAGAAGCATTTACAGAGAGATGAGAAGAAGTCGCGTAAGGCCGTCAGCGTTGATGGTTCTGCTAATGGCACTGGGGGCAAGGGCTCCACTGACAGTCCCGATGACGACAAAGACCCTGAGCTCAAGAAGCTACGCGCAGGTCTTTCAAACGCCATTCTAGCAGAGAAACCGAATGTGAAGTGGGATGATGTTGCTGGTTTGGAAGGAGCGAAGGCATCCCTCAAAGAAGCTGTTATTCTTCCCATCAAATTTCCCCATCTCTTCACTGGAAAACGGACACCATGGCGAGGCATCCTACTATATGGCCCGCCGGGAACGGGCAAGTCCTACCTTGCGAAAGCTGTTGCTACAGAAGCCAAAAGCACATTCTTCAGCGTCAGCTCAAGTGACCTAGTCAGCAAGTGGCAGGGCGATTCAGAACGGTTGGTTCTTGGCGCTAGGTTATGTTCAGCTTGCCTCACAAATTCCCTTTAGGCTGGTAAAGAACTTGTTTGAAATGGCTCGCGAACTAAAACCTGCAATTATTTTTATCGACGAAGTCGACTCTCTAGCCGGAACACGAAACGAATCTGAGTCTGAAGGCTCACGGCGGATCAAGACTGAGTTCTTGGTGCAAATGAATGGCGTTGGCCATGATGACACTGGCGTTCTCGTTCTCGGAGCAACTAACATCCCTTGGCAACTTGATCCTGCAATCAAGCGTCGTTTCGAGAAACGAATATATATTCCACTTCCTGGCCCGGACGCACGGAAAAGAATGTTTGAAATCCATGTTGGCAGTACGCCATGCGAGCTAGAGCCAAAGGACTATCGTCTTTTGGCCGATCGAACAGAAGGGTATGATCTTTTAGCCTAATCTAAGTGAAGTAATCCACCCAACTACTACCTAGGTATTCTGGCTCGGATATATCCATCGTAGTTCGCGATGCCCTTATGCAACCAGTTCGCAAAGTCATATCGGCGACACATTTCAAACCTATACCACCTTCTTCGTCGTCAGGAAAGGCTAAGTGGACACCATGCTCGCCTGGGGATTCAAACGCCGTTGAAAAGACTTGGTCGGATATTGATTCCGATGAGCTTGTAGAGCCACCGCTAAGGCTAGCAGATTTCATTAAGAGCTTAGACAACGTACGACCAACGGTCACCGAGGTGGATATCAAGCGACATGATGATTGGACGAAGGAGAGCGGTATGTTGACGATAAATTAGATCCAATCCAATTCTTTATTGACTTTTGGCTTTCCAGGCAACGACGGGGCATAATTCTCGATCTTACCCTACCTCATTACTGCATACCACAATACCGTACTGTTCTATGACATATTCTATATTGCAAAGGAGTCCTTGTGCCGTTCGACAATAGTAGGTGACATAAGACATCGATTCCATGGCCAAGTAAGTACTACAAGAAGCTATGGTAAGCAGGTGCGCAGACAGTGACAGATGTAATAGCAGAAAAAGGAGAATTGGATACTACGACAGAAGGCGTATTGTTCTGTGTATTATGCTTCAAGAATACAGGCGGCGCTGTGTTCCAAGAGGGCTGATATTAGGTTACAACATACAAGGTGTTGGCACGCGCGACATGCCCCCGCAAGAACGCCTCATGATGATATGATCTGCGCTTGCTGCATCGCATGCACATGCACGTGCGTGGGTTTTGCTACAGCATGACAAACTTCTATACCCTGCACCCATGAATGCGCCACGACGTCCTCTATCGGAGAACGTAGTTTCGGGTCTGGCTCAAGCATCCTCCGGATTAAAGTGCGGCACGCCCGTGGGCTCAGGTTGTTGATAGTCGGTGGGAAAACGACATCCTTCTCTTTATCCTTGTCTTTGTGCGGAACTGCACAGGCTGCGACATACGCCGCGTAGAGCGTGTCGGACATTTGAGCAGCACGCCAGGGCATCTCTTGAAAGTGAAGGCAGTAATACACAATACCGCACGCCCATATGTCAACTAAACGGGCGTCGTATGCTATTTTAAGTCAAAGTAAAGAAATTATTGTCTACGCAGTTAGGCAACCGGATTAAAGAGGGTTGTATGTGGCTTACGTTTGCCTAAAAATTGCTCTGGGGCAATGTACGGCTCACTACCACAAAGCCCCGTCGACATGTGAATTGTCGCTTCCCATGGCAGGCGGTATACAGTCGATGCGCCATAGTCGCCGATCTATAAAAGCATGAGAAGACAAGGACACATGAGGCATGTTCACCCACCTTCAGATGGCCCTTAGTGTCAAAAAAAAGATTCTCCGGTTTGATATCACGATGTGCTACGCCCTGACTGTGGAGATACGAAACACCCGAAAGCATCTGCTTGAAGCAGCATTCGACTTCACTGGGCGACATACCACCCTTCTTGATTGCAGCGTAGAGATCCCCACCAGGGCAAAATTCCATAACCTCGCACCAATGTTGATTCTCGTCCTGAACGAGATCCACAGTCTCAACTATGTTGATATGGTGCAGCGTGGAGGAAATACAAAACTCTGCAGTGAGTTTCTTGACGTACTCCTTTTCTGATTCATTCTTTCGTCTTTTGCGGAACTCCTTGATATAAAAGACGTGATGAGCACCAGCCAAAGGCTGCGATGGGCAAAGACGGGAATAGCGGCGTGTCTGCTTACCTTGACAGCGTACAGCTTCTCTTCACTTCTATCCCATTTGTGGGCTAGGCGGACGACAGAAGTGGCCCCCTTGCCAATAGCAACCTTTTGACAAACACCGTACTTCTGCGTTAAACTGGCTGCACTCTCACCACCAACCGATTTTCGATCCACGTCGGAATCTGACTTCTTGCTACTAGTTGAGCGGGCAGAAGATTTGCGTGAGAGTTTAGGTGCAGAAGCAGTGATGAGATCTTTGAGAGTGAATTTCTGCCCACTGTCCGAGTGAGCGTTAGATGGTGCCCTCGAGCGGCTGGTAGGTTTCTCTGACGGCAGAGGTTTGCCCTTCTGAGGAGTCTTTGACGTATTCGGTACGGTTAGTCTGTTGCCTGACACACCGCCCGACATGCTGGGAGCCCGGCTTGCAGCCTGGCTTGGAGGACGGGTTGAAGGAGCACTCCAAATCTCGCTCTCCGATGGTGAGGGTGAATCTGTTATGGAGGGCGTTGCCGAGCGTGGGGTTCCACCCTTGACTACCTTGGGCGGTTGCATATGCGAAGTCGAGTGGTACGTGGTACCGTTGACGAAAGAATTGGGATGGGGGTAAGTGTGGAGAGTACTGCCATCAAGCGGGGGCTTGTCAGAGCCATCAGGGCCTTCGCCCTCGCTCTGAGCGGTATCTGCTGAGTCAAGAACCAGCATTGATGTGAAAGAAGACAAGTGGGGTAGAAACGGCGAGATAAACGTGGGGGTTACCAGAGGCTACTAGTCTCCGTTGCTGACCTAATAGCGAATCGTATTCGTTAGAGGACCAATCGCAGATGAAAGGAAGGAGAGGTGTGGTAAGGTCGTGCCCTACAGAGACAACATGCTAACTTGAAACAGTTGAAAAAAGTTTGATGGTGATGGTGATGATGATGATCAATTAAAAACGAAATCTGTCGTGGGATGAACGGGAAGAACCCAGCCGTTGACGGTGACCTGCCTATGGCAAGGCGAGAAATGGCAATTAAACCCTCTCGTAAAATACGTTGGTAAGCCCTGGACCAGGGCTTTTATCTGCCAAAGATCAAATCAAGTTATAGTTCCGTCAACGTTAACAATATTAGCGATGACCAGATATTGGAGGGACAAAAATGTGATGGAAAAGGGTGATACGCTTGGAAGATCCGTCTTGAACGTTTGACGGATGGCTGAGTAAGCAACAGGGTACCATCCGACCCGCAGTTTTACTAGTACACCCACGCTCAACAAGCCAATTGAGGTCAGAACAACGCTTCAACTCAATTGTCAACGTAAAAGTCAGCTTGTCATTCCTATTCCCATGCATTTCCACGAACCTGGCGCTAGTCTAGGTGTTAATGCTATTCGTCAATATATATTTGGTTTGCACGGGTTTTGCCAACATTGTTATACTTAGCTCCGGTGTCGGAGTGATCTGAACCCGGCCAGCTACAACTATCCGAGTCGTATTCCGGATCCTGGTCTGTCTTGGAGGGTATCAAAGTGCATATGGTTGAGATCCGATAAAAAGCTCAAGCTTACTATCAGAGCTTGTCAGAACTGATTGACTAGGAACCTGTTGAAGCGTACGTAGTATCTGAAGTGCACTGGATTCTATACTTGTCATCATGCGTGAACTAGCTTCCATATATTATTAAACGTTATATTGATATTATTCCGGCTTCCAACCGGCTTCCACTACTGACTTTTCGATCAGAAATGTTGCAGACCATATTATTTATTTGTTACACTACTTAGCAGCTACTCAAGGAACAGTCCTGGCGGGCTTTGTGAGGACCCTGATGATCCCTAAGGCCCTAAGGCCTAAGGGTCTGCCCAGATCTAAATTTAGGAGCGGACAGTTTTGGGGTGGGAGTACTCACCTGCAGTAGACATAAGGGAAACCAAAAGTTTTCGCTCCTTTTATAAATTATAATGTTGCCCCAGCCTCGCGATCATGCTGATGCATGTATACTACTAGCAGTTAATTAGCTTTCATCATGTCTGTTGCTCTACTAGTTATCGTGGATGGGCATTCAAATATTCATGGCTTGAATCGCGTCCAATATCTTCCGAGGGTAGTTCAGGAACAAGCTTCTAAGATGGAGTCCAACTTCGGGTTTTTCCATGACAAATCCACGAGATTGCAGGGTTGATGTCATTGCGCGCTCAAGAAGCTTGCAGTGATGAATTGAGGTTGGTTATAATTAATGGCAACGCGAGTCATATTTGTCTTTTGATACAAAGTTGAAAGATATTCTGGCCTAATTCTGATGCTATTTTGACGGATCTGTGATAATTGTTTCTATGAGCTAGTACTAGATTACACTCGATCCTGACATGAAGGAAGTACTTGTTGTACGTCGGAGGACTGGGAGAGGTCTCCTAATAAAGTCCCCGCCAGGCCAGGCCTAGCAACGTCAGTAGTAGCCACGGGAATGTCCGGTAGAGCTGTATAGTTAAACTTAATAAGGTTCAGTGGCTTCATTACGTAACATTCACGGCTGGGCTTGTGAATCTAAGTTACAGCTGTCCTCATCGACAATCCTCAAGATCAAGGTGAGAAACGCTGCCGGTCCAAGTTCTGCTCAAATTTATTTCTATTTGCACTCAGACGCCGCTATGGTCAACCTTCGTTCTCAAAAGCGACTCGCCGCAGCCGTCGCCGGTGTTGGCAAGCGCAAAATCTGGCTCGACCCCGCTGAACAAGCTGAGATCGGGAATGCCAACTCCCGCTCGCACGTTAAGAAACTCATCAAAGATGGCCGTGTCATCATAAAGCCCACTGTTATCCACTCCCGTGCCCGCACCCGTGACCTTCTTGCCGCCAAGCGCAAGGGTCGTCACACTGGTCCGGGTAAAAGAAAGGGTACTGCTGAGGCTCGTCTTCCCACCAAGGTGCAGTGGATGCGGAGACAGCGGGTTCTGAGACGGTTGTTGAGGAAGTACAGAGAAGCAGGCAAGATCGACAAGCATCTGTGAGTGTGTTGTGTTCCCTCCATATCCTGATCTCATGTTCTCACATGGACGGCGTTACAAGATATCACTCCTTGTACCAAAAATCGAAGGGTAACGTCTTCAAGAACAAGCGCGTACTCATGGAGTACATTCACAAAGCTAAAGCTGAGAAGAACCGTACCAAGGTCCTCAGCGACCAGATGGAGGCTCGCCGTGGGAAGAACAAGGTTAGTTTTCACGTCCTCAAAATTGCATTTGGCACCAACATTTTTAGGCCACTCGCGACCGTCGTGCCAAAAGACTGGCAGAGAAGCGGCAAGCAATTCTTGCGGTGGAGCACGAGGCAGCTGTTCAGGAGTAAAATGGTTCATGTATATTTACGATTTCATTCCGACTTGCTTGACGCTGCACTCTATAGCACTTATGCTATGTTCACATGCCTCTACGATCGCTCACATACTTCACCATGCATTCTATTTCTCCTCATTTTCCCCATCGTAAACATGATGAATACGTGCAATGTTCCCTGAGGTCATATATTGCACCTGATTGACAAGTTGGCATTGTAAATGAAGTGTTTGAGCGCACAACTGTAGCCAACCCGTCTGTATGATGGACAGAAGTGATCACGTCAACATGACATGGGCAGGATCCAAACACATCCTCTTTACATTCCTCTCTTTGGCCACGGCTTCCACCATCTCCCTTGTGATCCCCACCACACCGTCCAATGTGCTCCCTAAAAGCCCACATTCATTCAACGCAAATGCAGCATCCTCGATGCGTAGATTCGTAGCTGATGCAATCTCTGCAAGGGTGGACCGCACAACGACGTGCGAGGTCGCGCTGCCGTCAGGATTAGAAATTGTCAGCACCGTGCGCATTGCTGCAATTGTGTCTAGATTCACACGGATATGTTGAGTACTGGACGGAATCGCATCTAGACACTCACCATCCAGCCCGTTTGGCGATGAAAATGTAGAATTTGAATCAGGTGTTTCTCCATCCCATCCTTTCGCTCGCTTTTTTCGTGAATTAGCATCCTCCGAGGGAGGAGGCAGCACACCAGTTAGGTCAGGTAGTCGCCCTGAAGACGTAATCGTGGGTCGATCTGGTGGGAGAACTGACAAAAGTCGTCTACACAAAAATGATGAGGATAGTGCATAAGCGAAGAGTTGACAACTACCTGAAGAAGCGAATGAGCGTAGCCACCCAGTATGTGAGGTAGCTTCTCAAGCCCAGATCTGAAAGGGGTCGTTCAGGTGTACCGATTTTACCAGCGCGGCGGGATACTTCATAACCTGCATAATGTGAGCTGCAGAATTTTGACGGTTTGTGAAGTTTGCTCGCACGTACTGAATTCGATCATGAGCATTCCATAGCCCTTGCGCTGATATGGAGGGAGAACAATGATACACGCAAGATTATAGTCATCGTAAGATATTTTCTCCTGCAGGCGGAATAAGCATTCGGGACTCGATGTATACTCGTAGCAAACGAGATACCTTCGAAAAGAACCCAAGAACATGATCTCGTTGTGAATCCGCGTCTGTAAGGATATAGAACAAGACTGATTCGTATGTTAGTGGGAGTCATTAAGTTGTTCTCGGCTTAAACGCACAGTTGTCGCAATCAAAGAACAAAGTTTTAACGTCGATGAACAATTTTCCAAAGAGCGAGAGGTTTTGGCAGTAGAGCTGAGGGTCTTGGTAAGTATTCGAACGAAGGCAGCAATATGTAGAGACCTTGTCCTTGGCGCCGTCGACCTCCCAAATTATGTGCGCACCTCGCTGATAAACCTTTCGTCCTGGTGGATGCCTTCTGTCGCATTGTTTCTTCAAGACATACATATAAGTTAGCCATAAACACAACAAGATCAGGACATACTACATGCATTTCCCATGCTGCACCCTCAGCCATGTACTTGAAACAGCGATCACAGACCCATAATATGCTCTTTTCAGCAGATAGATGTGAGCGAGTAAGCCCGCCGGCCAAGAGGTCAGAGGTGCGCCCATGTGATCGAACGGTCGCTCTGTTGACACCAGGAATCTTGGACGTCGAAGCTGAACCTCCAGGTAGTCCAGTGCTATCCTCAAGCTCTGAATCTGTGAGTGGATAAGGTGAGAAATACCTACAACATGATGTGAGTGGGAAGAAGTTTATTATAATATGCGCTACGCACCAGGTCTTGATCCGCCACTGCCCAAAATTGACCTTGTCAAAATTTCTTTGCGCAGTGATCTGTTTGTGGTGTTTGATGTCAAACTCTTCCTCGGTCATGAGGGGATCGGGCCGCGTTTCTGGCTCTGTAGGCGTAGGCGAAGGGGTGTCCCTCCTCCTTTTGCGCACGGATTCGTTAGCAGGTTTGAGGCTAGCCCCTGGAATCCATTCGTCTAGGCGTTTGTCAAATCCATCATAGTGGACATACACCTGTCCGTCCGGGCGACGTTGAAGGATGTCCACAAGTTCTGAAACACGTTGTTCGCCTCAGTCATTACAAGTTGTTGACAGAAAGATGTAGAACGCACGATCTGCACCATTCTTGTTAACAATATAGCTTGTGTTCTGCGATCGTGCGGATGTACTAGTTGATTCTGTCATGAGGGTGTGCAAGGTTGAAGTAAAGTAGCATATGCTAGTAGCAGGCGCTCCGGCTCTCCGAGTCAACTTATTATGTCGTGATTCATTTTACCAACCTTGACCAATTTCAACCAGCTATTATACGTACATCTTGCCATTAGGAGCTAGCGACTTGTCTATATGCCCATTAGTTAGTTGCTCCGAGTCAACACTCAGGAGGCCCTAGCTTACGATTTCTACCAGTACTGTTTTCAAAGTTATCGCACGGGCTTCAGGCTGCAGATTTCGATCGGAAGATTCCAGACTCACGTACGCATTCGCCGCGTACGACCGGTATCAGCTGTCTCATGTCACTACAGCTTCTATAGGCACAAAGTCACGAGTACATCTGTGCGGTATCCACTGTCAACTTGGATGGGTTGATATCCTCTCTTCTTTACACACAAACTTCATCTTTCTCGCCTCCACGACGCTCTATCAAGAAATTGTTGTTATTCGGTTGACCAACGCAGAGTCGGTTTTGGAGCACACCTAGCTGCTACACAGCGGCGACCTGATACTACTGAATAGAATTAATGCCTCAAGTTCAACATTACGGAGCTAGTATCGTAAATATCATGTCACTCTTTGTCACTCTCCTCTGTGCTTCTCAAGTCTATGCATCCTGCACGTACTCGTGAGTTACTCTCCCAAAAATTCATTTTATTTCTTGTCTCAGATAAAATTCAGGGCGGATTCGAATGACTGTACTCCATTCCCCACGTCGACTATCGTCGGTCTTGCTATTGGCGGAAGTAAGTATGATTTTTTAGAATATTTGGCATTAGCTCAACTGCGGCAGTTATTCTCTTGGCCATTGTTATTTTCGGCAGGATTCTTCGCCGGCGAAGACTCCAACGTGTTGCACAGACAACCTTCCTGTATGGAACATCCAGTAACAGCTATGGCAGGCCACAATCAAATGTATATCATCCACACCCCACTCAAAGACCTATCCCCGGTCAAATGAATTCGTTGAACCGACATGGAATGCCTGTAGCACCCTCATTTCCACAACTATCCAAGCCATCTCCAACGGCACACTCTACACGCATGCGATCTCCAACCATGCCTTCTCCAACCCACTACTCATATTATTCAAACCAGACCCCACACATTTCACCTCCCTCTTCCCCAAATTCAGCCCGCTTACCACCCCCTGGGTTTCCCCCCTCTCCTTCCCCCCCTTCGACACATTCACGAGTCTCTGCTGATCCATCTACGGTTCAAGCACCGTCCATTAGGGTCACTTCAGCACACACTTCTCCCGTCAGGCACTCATCACCTCCAGAGAATGTGGAGATGCGTACGCTGACCGTGCAGACGGAAGTTGCGAATGATGAACCTCCACCAGCTTATACCCCGATTTAACAGTATGCATCATCTTAGGATTTCGTACGAGATACCCGATTTTATTCAGGAGCTTATCACAACTTCATGAAAAGGGTGCGATTGTCCAATTGATCTTTCTGTGTTCTCTCATTATTTCTCAACAACTTGATATCGCTTCACTGCGCTCACCCGTTAGAGCTTACTTGTCTTCGGAGTCTAGGTATATCTGTTACATACGATAGATCATGAAATTTTGAGACTTCAAAGCTTCAGGCTTAGGCTTAAGGAGCAAGGCAGTCAGTTGTCTATGTAACTGCTAGTTTCCTCGAGACGTCCATCATAAGCTTGAAGAAACGACCAAGAATCTTTCTTTCATTTTGCGTACCTTCGGAAAACTAGCTACGAGGCGTCCTGCACGTTGACATGTATTCATAAGAAACCGGCATTTCGAATTCCAATTCACACACTTAATGCTCATTGGAAGTTCGGTACTTGCACTCATCACCATGCCTGCTATCGACACACAGCCAGCTCCAATTTCTTCTCCCGCTCGCAGTATATCAAAGTCCATCATTTCTCAATACTCTCAACTAGCCCCAAGGCTCGCTGTCGAATCTTTCGACCTCTCACCCTTTTCAGTACTAAAATGATTGTTTTCCGCAGTCTGAGTTGCATGCTAACTACCTTTGACGTAGGAGTCATTCACTGGTCTTCTTGACGACGATATTGCAACATCCCTGTTGTTTCCGGACCCTCCGGACCCTCAGAAACAAGCAGGCATGGTCTCGGACCTGAGTTATGACGTCGAGGTTTATCATCTCTCCTTTGGGTATCAGAATCGCTCTGACACCTAAACTTTAGATTAAGGATATTGCTGATCTCGCTCCTCGTTTTAGGGATGGAGAAATTGAGGTGCAGTGTCTCTTATGCCGATGAGCGTCCGAGGTACTGATGATCGATGATCTTTGTAGGAAGTGATGGTCATTTCACCGAAACCAAGACTCATCCATTCCTCCAGGCAAGGCGTGAAGGCCGGTGATGTGGGTTTTGTGAATATTGATCCAAGTCTACGCTCAGACATAGCCGTGCAGTTCCGACCACTCTACACACTGTTCAAAGATTCCATCTCATCGACACATCTATGCCGAAAACGTGACGACCTCAAATTCTATGCTATGCGAATTTTGAACAAGGAGCGCCTTCAAATTCGCAGTCCTCATGATCACATCCAACTTCAAATGGAAATTTGCCAGGAAATTCGCGAACTGCGGTCTTCTTTCCTCTCACCATTCATCTGGATCCACGAGGATGGCCTTGAAATTCATTCCATCGCGGTATGCTTTACTTTTAGTCTTGCGCTCCAGGTGCCAACAGTTTGAACCAGGAGTTTTACCCTAATGGCAGTCTCCAGGATTTGCTCGACCGCGACACGAGCCTTAGCGAAAGCCACGCCCTGCACATAGCTTCCGAAATAGTAAGCCAAGCCAAGTGACGCAATTCAATATGATATGCTTACCTGCAATAGGTAGAGGCGCTGGACACACTTCATACTGCTGGCATAATTCATCGTGATCTAGCACCATGTAATATCATGTTCGACACGTCGGGACATGTAGTTATTGCGGGGTTTGGTCAAGCCATGCAAACCTGATTCAGCAGCCTCTTTCCCGTTGCCTGATACTGGTTTGTATTGTGCTCCTGAACTCATCCTAGGGTGGGCGCATGATTTTAGTGTTGACTGTTGGAGCTTTGGCCTGCTGATATACATGATGCTTTTCGGATCTGTGAGTTTACCGCATCAATTTCGCCATTTATTTACGCGTTTTAGCACCCATACGTTGCCGACAACGACAACGACAACGCTGCCATCCTGCAAACCAAGGTCCTTCACTGCCCGCTGATGGTTCCCCAGACAGTGTCAGTATCATGGGCAGCACAAGATCTTTTAGTCAAAGTGAGTTTTCGGAATGTATTGACGCGCGCGCTGGCTGATGCACGTAATTTGGATTAGTGTTTGGAGCGCAATGCAGCCCTTCGCTTGGACATCAAACAGATTAGGGCGCATACATACTTCTGCACTGTGTGAGTTTTACAACTCTGGACGCTACCGCATTGTCGAAACTTGACGTAGGCATTGGAACAACGTGACCAACAGGGTTGGCAAGGGTCTGGATACAAATTTGCGAGTGCTTGCCTGCTAAACTGACATTCACTGCAGCACCCCTCGGATACGATGATGAGAATCCTGATATCAACATACGACACTCTGAAGATAATATGACTGTTTCAGATGCAAAGAAAGTGGCGGTCCTTACAGAAGATGAACCTCTGACCTTGGCCGAAGAGAGAATCGTTGATTCATTCACCCCCATGCCACAACGAATAGTAAAACCTAAAACTGGATCTCTCCACGCGCAAAAAGATGCTATTCTCAAAACACAAAGACGTATCTCTTCACAAAGCACTCGCCTAGAAATTGTACCTGAAGCTTCTGACGAAGAGGAATCCCTGGACGTAGGTCAAGTGGAGTCGAGCGCGCAAGATTATGTACGACGTTTCAGGCAGCGCTCTGCAGTCATGGACCTAGGACACACTCCGGCAGGTCCATTATCATTGTGGGACGCTCTTGATTTGGAGATCAACTCCGTTTCCTCGCACTACTCTAACCCGAGCACAACCAGTCGTGAAGAGCCACCGGAGAACTTTGGCACACTGCGAAAAAGTCGGTCGGTAACCTTTCAAGATCGTGCCCGGTCCACCCTATCTATCGCAAGCACTGTCCCTTCCACCAAATTGCATGTCCGAAATAAGCTTCGCAAGAGGATGCGTTCTGCAAGCACCCCTACACTTAGGTCTCCTCACCTTGATCCGTTGCTCAAGGGACTTCCCCTTGGCGTCAAACAGATTGGCTACGGCATCGGTTTCAGCCCCCCTATGGAACCCCTTTCTTCTCGCTCGAAATCGGTTTATCGATCCGCTATCCGCGCATGTCAAAAGCTGGTGCCAGTCATACGTCGCAAAATCTCCAGAAAGACCTTATCTAAACGCAAGACATCCTCGCCGACAGACTCAAGTAGTGCCCGTGACGCGACTGCAGTAATGCGTGGGCTCTATGGGCCAACCTGGACACTTGGTATGGAGTCCCTGCCACCTTCTGCGGCTACAGACACACTCTCGGCCACAACCAACGACTCGGAAGGCCCAGTGACACCAGAGACTCCGTTCTTTGCTCAGACAGTGGGAATAGTGCACCATGAGTCATCCACCCTTCGCTTGGTACCGTCCTCGGGTCTTCAGTCTTTTTTGTGATTATTTTTTCAGCCTCGCAATCACGCCGCATTTTATTGATATCGATGTTCCCTTTCGAAGCTCAATTTTTTCCTTTGATCAGCTCCCTTATCCAATTGCAGGACTTTGTCATAAAATGGATGTCTTAACACTCGCCTGTGCATTATTGTTGTTGTAATATGCATGTAATTTTTTGGCCTTTTTGTACATGACAATGTTAGACCATGGCCAATAGGTGGCAGACAGCAAGAACTTTCCGCTCCTTTTCGGGAATTACCCGGCGGCAAGTTGAGTTCAAGAAATGTGCTCAACCAGACAACAGTATTGCAGGTCAATGACTACTTCTTTTAGCCTCAGCCACCAAAGGGGTGACAATAGGTGCTATCGTGACCAATGGAGAAAGCGACTCGCCATTGGTGGTGCTCGGTAGTGATCAGTCCTTTTAGAACAATGGTTCAATTGTAAGCTACGCCATCGCCAACTCCATTGTGTTTCGTCAAAGCTAAAAGCACTTAGCAGTGGACCATTTCTCTGGCATGGAAATGCGAAGTCGCCACACAATCCACACCGGCCGGGTATATATGAAGAGTCTGAGTTGGTTTTGCAGAAATAACTTGGTATACAGGCATTCACGATAACTTCAAGGCAGTCCTCCAATTTCTGATTCCCTGATTCACCTCAGATATGTATACAACCCCCAAGAAGGATCCTTGCAGTATCATGGGGACCGACCGGAGGCCAAACCCACTACGCTATGTAAATCTCAAGGAGTGGGACGATGGTGCCTACGGTGATATATCATTCCAAGAATCCCAACCGGATACCCTCGAGGAGCCATGGCCATATAGATTCCAGGTAACATTGTATTTCTAAATCGACTCCTTTGTTCCTTTGATGACCTGACTACCAGAGTGGCGACAGCGTGTGGATCCACTCCACAGGTTATGACTGGTATCAAGGGAGAATTTCTGGCCAGCCCAAGGCTGCCCGGACGAAGATGGTGAATCTCTTGATACAATTGTCGGACTGCCCCATTGATTTGGTTTTGTGACTGGTAGGGTGATGGACTTTTTTGGCCTGTCACCTATAATCGTAATAAGCGCAGATATGCAGCACCTCTCAATGGCGAATTGAAGCCTGATACTCCGCCTATAAGGAAGATGTTGGAGGAGGCAGGCATTTTGTAAGGGGCTGGTACCTACTCAAGGACTTAATGATTCTACACCGTATCAGTAGTATTTATGTTCTATGTACAAATATGACGACCGGCATTGCATTGTAACCTATTTGTCGACACTGTAGTATCTTGTTGTTCTTCCTTCAAAGAATCGTTCTCGGCTCTGTAGTCCATCGTCTCAGTTGGAGTTGTGACGTGCGTGACTGAAATCTAAAAGCGCATTGTGTGGCTCCTGTCTGCCAGCTTCCACTACATTAACATCTTGATCCACGACTTCAACACACGACCACCATGACGAAGACTTATCTTATGAACAGCCTGATTGAGAAAGTTAGTACCTTAAAGTTTACTCACTGGAATCAACTGAGCTCTTTGCAATCTCGTGTATTATAGATGCAATCTCCGGACCAGGACTTTCGGTGCGTGAGCTTTCCCAACCATACTTCTTCATGTTTTCTGAAGTACTCGATAGATTTATGGGTCTGAACGATCTGATGAGCGAAATCAAACAAGATCCAGCCAGCTTCATCGGAGACGAGCCTACCGAGACAAAGGTCCTCAAACAGGTTCTTTCCTTAGTAGAAGATAGGATTTCGGAAGTCAAGAATCAGGCTGTCAAGTGGTACGGCCCACATCTACCCTGTCTCATTCTTGGGACTTATAACTTTTATGCGGTACTGTGCATTTAGCCTAGGTCAATTGATCAAGATCATCCGCGAAACGCAGATGGAACTCGTGGTTGATAGCTTAATCAACTTCTCAGTAGGAAAGGACGATGAACTGCGTGATATCTCTGGCTTGGGTAGGTCATCGAGATCGTTGACACATCTCGTATCCTAATAACAAATATACAGCATTGAAAACGATTACTTCTGAGTTGCCATTGGAAGGCAAAATTACTCCCAGAGCATGCGCAAAGCTCGCACCAAAGCTTCTACAGCAAGTTTCGAATGTAAGTTGTTTCTTTCAATATTGGTCCTGCTCTTGACATGGCCACTTGTAGACGGAAACCCCACCGGAGACTTTGATCGAGACATTATCAACGCTATCTATACTTATCACTCGTTTCCCTGCTCACGTATCTGATCCAGCCCTGACGCCGCACCCTCTGCCTGCAATAGCTCCGCTTCTTTCACACTCTCGTCCTGCTGTACGCAAACGTGCTATTCTGACGCTCTCACAATATGTCCCTGTAGCTCCTCCTGCACTCGTCAACGATCTATTGCAGAACCACATTCTCCCATTCCTTGCACCTAACGCTAACCTCGAAAAACAGCGCACAACTGTGCATCTGGTTGCTGCTATCATACGGCAGGCACCGCAGCAGCTGACATCAGTGTACAATGACATCATACCTGGAGTCATCAAAGCCGTCCAGAGGGACGATGATGAACTTCGTGAAGGTTGTCTTCAGGTTCGCAAATATTTCTTCCACATCAACACTGTCATGCCAATCACTCATGTTCGATCAGGCTCTTGAGACGTTGCTCTTGAGGTCTCCGACAGAAGCGGCACCGTTCCTAAGCTCGATAGTACAGATAGGAAGCCAGTTCATCAAATATGACCCAGTGAGTTATGAATTCATAACTTTGTATGGTTAGATCCCATCTGTCCACAGAACTATGCTGGACCGGATGACGGCGAGGACGAAGAGATGGCAGATGCAGATGATGACGACGACGACGACGATGCCGATATTGATGAGTGAGACATGATTTGTTTTATTTTCTTATTTTGCTCACAATGCGCATTTAGGTACTCTGACGATGAAGACACATCGTACAAGATCCGGCGTGCTTCTACCAAACTTCTAGCTGCTGTGATCACTACTCGCCCCGAGCTTCTGACCTCACTGTACAAAGAGGTGTCGCCTGTGCTAATATCGAGGTTTGGCGACAGGGAGAAAACTGTTCGGCTCGAAGTATGGGCAACTTATGGTGTTCTACTGAACCAAACTAACATGTACGGTGGCCTGCCACAATCTCAAGAGAACGATCCCGCTATTAGGAAGAGGAAAAGAGACAGCGAAGAGAGAATGGATGTCGAGGAAACGCCGCATACCCTTCTGCGCTCACAGGTTTCTTCATTATCCAAGGCCTTACTCCAGCAACTCAAGTCCCCGAAGACTCCACCACCGACGCTTCAAGCAGGCTTCCAGCTCCTGTACGCTTTGCTTGGCGTTCTTCCTGGTTGTCTTTCCAACCAAATTACACCCATTGCCGCAATCTCTCAATCTGTGCTGATTCAGTCGCCAGCGACTTCAACTTCGGCCCTTCACCTTACATGTCTCTCCTTCATCGCATTGTATTTCGCGACGCATGCTCCTGGGACATTTTCTATGTCACTTCCTACTCTGACACCTGTTCTTTTGAAGTCAGCTGGAGAGAAACACCCTCGAGTTGCTTCAGAAGCCTTCCGTGTCTTTTCTGCTTTACTCAATGCCACGAGGCCCGTAAAGAATGGCGAATGGGCAGAGCGTTTGTATGACCAAGCTTTTCAGCGTCTCAGCATTCACGACACGGACGCCGAGGTCCGCGGATGCGCTGAGGACTGTATTGCAGACCTATGGATTTGCGCTCCTGATATCATCAAACCGAAAGGCGGCAAGGAATGGCAAGCCATATGTCGGACCACCGGTAATACAGGAGGAGCTGTTAGAGTGGTCACGAAAGTTGCGAGGGACGTGGAAATGAGTGATGACTGGGTGAACTGTTGCGTTGAATGGATCATGGGTTTACTAAAGAAAAGTGAGAGGGGAGGAAAACCAGAGATATTTATCGCCCTCGATACTCTTTTAAAAAGGTCAGTTCATCTCTTGGAGATCTGGAAGCAACCTCATTTTGTCCAGATATTCATCTGGCGTTCCCACCGATCTGCCACCCACTTTGGTCCCCCAGATCAAACCATACATATCGACAACAGACATTTCCTTACTGTCTCATGCATTGACCATCATTACAGTGTTACTCGAGCTATCTCCGATCGCGACTTTCCCTGAAGTTGAGCGTGAGCTCCTTGGTGATATCTATCAGATCGCACATTCGCCTCTTGTCTCAGGAGCTGCTCTCGATTCACTTCTGATGTTCTTCTCTTCGTTGGTGCAGGCTGATAGCCAAATTGCAACCCACGTCGTTCCTAGCTTGGCGACATCAGCGGAAAAGGCCAACAAGTCAGACGCCAACTTAGCCAATGTCGCTAAATGCATTGGCCAAGTTGTCCAGAGCGCTCAGGGGGTGGCAGCAGGAACAATCGCGGTCTATTCCAAGTATATGAAGGTCAGCCCATGTACAGTAAATTAGCGCATTTCTGACATTGCGCTGCTTCTAGAAATCTTCAAAGTCAAAGTCCGCCACTTCTGTTGTGGTGTTAAGTCTGTTAATTGTTGGAGAACTTGGCCGTTTCATGTATGTCAGATTCTCAGTATTACTATTCCATCGATAACCCTGTCGCAGTGATATGTCGAGGCAACAAGATACGTTTAGTAGTACTATCGAACATTTCGCCGCAGAAGAAGAGGAGATTCGTGCTGCTGCCGCATTCGCTGCTGGTAAGTAAATTATACACATTAACCAGGTATATGGATTGACGTACCTAGGAAATATTGCTATCGGAAATCTTCATCAATTCTTGCCTGAAATCCTCAGGATTGCGGAGAGTGATCCGCATAAAAAGCTGCTGTCGTTGCATGCATTGAAGGAGGTCTGAAATTTGGTCTTTGTGACAATTTGTTTTCTGAGAGTCAGTCTAGGTCGTCACGCATTGCTCGCATGGACAGCTCGAAGGTGTTGCAGAGCAGCTCTGGGCACCCCTTTTTCAATACTCGGAGGATGCGGAGGACAGTACACGCAATGTTGCCGCTGCCTGTCTGGGCAAACTTACTACAACACATCCCACACGATATCTCCCACAACTTCACTCTCGCATCCATGACGAGAACCCTGCAGCACGCGCCACTGTCGTATCTGCTATCCGTCATACGCTTGCGGAGTCGTCACCATCATATGACGAGCTTTTGGCATCGCTCATCATGGACTTCTTGGATTTAAT